CGATGACAGATCTCTTGAAGAAAGGTTCCGTATGGCGATGAAGCAGTGAACAGCAAAGCGCTTTCGACGAACTCAAGGAAAGATTTACGTCTGCTCCAATACTACGACACTATGACGAACACCGTGAAGCGATCATAGAAACTGACGCGAGCGACTGGGCCGAGGCCGCGGTACTCTCTCAGGTGTTCGAGGACGGTATTCTACACCCGGTAGCTTACCACTCTCGCAAGTTCAACGAGGCAGAGGTAAACTACGAGATCTATGACAAGGAGATGCTCGCCATAGTTTCTGCTCTCTTGACTTGGAGACATTGGCTGGAAGGAACGGACATTCCTATCCAGATACATTCGGATCATCAGAACCTACAGTATTTCACAACGACCAAGAAGTTGTCGAGAAGACAAGCCAGATGGGCCGAAAAGATAGCACCTTTTCGCTTCAGGATCCATTACCGACCAGGCGAAAAGAATGGCAAGCCAGATGCACTTACAAGGCGTCCAGAGTTCGCTATGGAAGGGGGAGTAATGCGTGAACAACCCGTAAAACAGTTGCTCAGCGCAGAACAATTTGTCAGGAAATCACGGACCAGTGTAGAAACTGGCCCTGAAATCATTGGCAACCCCGAAGAAGGATGGACTCCGTTGGATCAGTGGTACGACATACCAGGTACTGAGCTGCCTCAGCCACTACAAGACTGGTATGAACAGGACAGACAATGGGTTCGGAGAGTGTTCCGGGATGAACCTCTCCCTGACGCAAACCTTGAAGTCTTCGGGACAGAGGAAGCTGATGCCGTAATCACGGAGCTTGCCACTGAATGGACCCCGGGATCGAATGAGGCCACCCACGATGGTCGTTGGGTAGTGCCAGGATACGCGGTCAGACAAGTCATTGAGGATCATCATGACAGACCCGTAGCGGGGCATCTAGGAAGGGATAAAACCCTTGAGTTGATCGATAGGAACTACTGGTGGCCAGGAATGTCCACGGATGTAGCCAACTTCGTCAGGACTTGCGACGTGTGCCAGAGAGCCAAGCAACGTCGGAGACACTTGTCACTCCCTCAACCCCTAGAGTTAGCCACCACACCTTGGACTGATATCTCAATGGATTTCGTAGTAGAAATGCCAAAGGAGAAATCAGGATTCCGTAACGTATTGGTAATGGTGGACCGTTTTACGAAAATGGCTCACTTCATCCCAATGACGGGAATCAACGCGGAACAGACCGCCAACGCCTTTGTCAAAGACATTTGGCGCTTTCACGGACTTCCTAGGAGCATTGTCTCTGACAGAGGAACACAGTTCGTATCGGCATTCTGGGCTGCGATCACAGAACGACTAGGGATTCGTAGAAGACTCTCGACCTCGTTCCACCCACAGACGGATGGACAAACAGAAAAGACCAATCAGCACCTCGAATCCTACATCCGGGCCTATACCGCAGGAACAGGAAAGAAATGGAAGGACCTACTACCGATTTGCGAGTATGCATATAATAATGCGAAACACTCGTCAACAGGACAATCGCCGTTCTACTGCAACTATGGTTTCCACCCACGAACAGATTGGCCAACAGATGCGGAAGTCGGACAGCTGGATGCCAAGGGAAGCACCTACCTGGAAGAGCTTCTCCTAGCCCATGAGTCAGCGCGAGACACGCTGCAGAAGACCTTTGACAGGATGGCGTCAAGGCCAGGGCCAGCAGTTCAGCGGTTCACAATCGGTCAAAAGGTCTTGCTGGATACTCGGAACCTAGGCGGTTATAATAAGTGGTCAGACAAGTTCACAGGCCCTTTTGAAGTCACCGCGGCTGTAGGAAATAGGGCTTATAGATTGAATCTTCCGGTAGAATGGAAGGTTCATGACGTATTCCACGAGATGTTGTTGCGACCTTATCGAGAGGATCCCAACCCTGGCAGGCAACAGAACACACGAAAACGACTCGCAACACCCGATCCTCAAAAAGCGCTCTTAGATGAGAACTTCAAACCAACCACGAATATTCGGCCCCATACACGGAGTCAGGGGCCAGTCATCGACTCGAGTCGGCCTCCAAAACGACAACGGACTAGGGAAGACTAGCTCGATACCTTTCCTACTCTATGACTTTTCCCAAAGGGTTTTTATCATAGAGAGGTTTTAACGGTCGAGGGCGACGTCTAGGAAGGGGGAGTAGTGTTACAGGAAACACGAACACTGCTCCTAAGTCAAGGAACAAGGATAATACGAGTGATGGGTTGTGATGTGAGTACGGTCGGGTAACGAGGGAACCAGCATAGAAAGGTACCGAGGGGTGTGGGGGCACCGGGTGCAACCACACTAGTATTAGGCTATTGTGAGGGCACGCTTACTATTGGGTGTCTCACCCGGAACGGAATAGAAGCGGGGTTTATGGCTGCAGGCCATTCTACTTAGGGAAGTAGCTCTAGGACAATAGCATGATACAGCTCGGTTACTGGCAATTGCGGGGTTTATGGTTACGTGTCGGAATTAGAATGGAGGAACGGAACTATGCGGGGGCGCTTTTCTATTGGGGTTATCTTCGGGTTGATTATCTTATTCTATTATCGTTATCTCTTTAGTATTAGAAAGCGGGCCTTGGCATAGGTTCCAATATGTATAAATAGGGAGGATTCTGCCTCGTCTTAGTGGCATCATCAGTCACTCAGCGAGCGGAATCCGGTTTACAATATTACAAGTTTAAAAGCTACAGAACTATCGCTTAGCATTGGCATTTCCCCTAACATCGCATTACCGGCATTTTAAAATATCATACATTTTCTCAAAGGTTATCTTTAATTACCTCTAATGTGGCCTCCTAGTTCTGTTTACTACTCCCCTTTCAAGTGTTGCTTATTCTATTGAATGTTTCTACTCGAGTTTATATGTCAGAACGGCAATCCCAGATAGCCATAGGAGCATCCAACATTCCTCCCAGGGCACTCACTATATCAATGAGGGCATCGAGCCATACTTACTCACAATACTGTCATTCTGCGACTGAAAATTATCAGGCTTCAAGTAACTTCCTGTTAACTATGCCAGAATGCTGTGCCAGATCGCCGTCGATATCACGCAAAGAAGGGTAGGGGTTATCTACTCTAGAAATTCGGGATCCCTAACCCCTCGCATTCTTACCCAATAGAAGTATTTAAGATACAATATATCGATAATTTCCGGAATCAGTAAGCGTAGTCAGTAAGTACAGAATCTGTCAGCAGCTATTCCGAGTGCTCTCTGGGCACCCATCATACCTCGTAATTCTCTTAAGGGCTCAAGAAATGATCATTCTTCAAAAGGTAATCCACTTGAGCCGCCCTTGCTTCAGGCCCCAAAAGATTTCCAAGCCCATGTATCGTAGAGTCCATTAGACACCTTTTCACCTCATGCATCAAGTGGGAATGGACATGGGAGTGCAGACTTCTGATATATCATTCTCAATTATGCTTTCAGCACACTTGTAATCGGCTTTGAGGGCACTCACCTGTTTAATAACGACCTCATCAAGATCTACTCTAGATCCCACTCGGCAACTTGCAGATGCTGATATGCTCACTACCAGTATCGAAAGTCTTGCTGCAGGTGGAAAGGCCTTATGTAGAACAGTAAAATCTCCGATTAATGGGCTACATTCCTTCCCAACCCTCTGAGCCTGCACTGACAGCAAATTTGCACTCCTATAGTCATGGATCATATACCTCTGAGTCAATTGGCACGAAGGAATGTTGCCAGTATTCTCAAATATGTTGTGAGTATCCTCCGGAATACTAACCTCGTTTCACGGAACCAAAATACCATCGCTCTCCAGCATTGGAGCACTTTTGTCCCCCTCCTTAGATGAGGGAAGGTATTTGATTTCGTAGACTCTTTGCAATCGACCTTGACTGTGAAATTGGCTTGAAGGAATCTGACGACTGCTCACAGAGTACTCGCCAATTACCTCCCTAGGTGTTAAAGAACAATATGTCTGGTAAGTGAGGGACAATTTCCCGTATCGAGAGCGCATCGCGGTAAAATCAATATGGCTCGTAGAAGAGGTATACTCATGAGGATAAACAGGTGCGGAGGGTCTAGACTGGAAGGGTGTTGAGAGTGCTCTCTGGGATGCTGGGAGTACTACCTGAGATGCATTCTGACTGTGTACTGAAGTGAGTGCTGCTCTCCCTTGTTTACGTATTACTTTCACGCCCCGTTGTGTTTCCCTCAGAATTGTTAGCCACTAATACTTACATGTAAAAAGTATCAATGAGCGAGATAGAGATAAACCTGTACCATGTCCACCGATATGTTGGAAGAAGCAATAACCTCCGCTACTATACGAGTTGATTTCCTCCGAGCATTGCCCAATGCTCTAGCAGTGGTTGGTTGAACTGTATAAGATCTCTTTCCGACAGTCTGAAAACTCTGGGTGGAAGATGGGGGGGGGTTGAGGTTTATCTTCCGGTTTATCCTCATCCTCCTCAGAGCTCTCGTGGTTGTTCTCCAGAGCATCATTATAGTCTGAATAGCTAGTATCAATTATTTCTTCCACTTCAGGTGCCTCAATTGCCTCAGGCTCCTCATGCAATATCTCCAATTAGAAATCAATTCTTGGCGAGAAAATTTGCGCAGCTAATTTTCAGATAGCAGGGATCATCTAGTGTTACTGTTATTTCCGTACTCAACCGCATCATTTATCATCACTCGTTTTACTGCACTTCCTGAAGTGGTACCGAGTGCTCTGACAGTAATCTAGGATTTTGATCTGACTTTGAAATAAAAGCAATGCAATTACTACCTGGACTAATCTAATCTAATCTAATTTAATCAAATCTAATTCAATCTAATTTAATCTTAACTGATATAACTCATCCCTTGATATACAAAGGGAAATCCAATACATCAAATTGTACCGCATATCAGTAGTTATCGCGAGTGTTCAGAGAGCAATCCTAACAATTATTAAAAGGTTAGTGACAATTATGCAGGAAGGGAAGTTAAAGTTTCTGTCAAAGGGAATTAATGATGCCTGCCACTATCACCACCACTACTATCGCCATCGTCTTTAGCTGGCCCATCACCTCCACTACCACCACCGTCTCCAGCTGATCCTCCACCACCACCGCTGCCCAGAAGAGAAGGAGGTCCGCTCAGAGAAGATGGAGGTTCTAGACCACCACCACCACCACCACCACCACCACCACCACCACCACCACCACCACCACCACCACCACCACCACCACCACCACCACCATCTCTATCTCCACCACTATATCCAACAGCACAAGCCATGAATGCATCAGCAGCTCTCTTGACTGCTATCCTGGCAGGTGTTAAGATCATCCCCTGTAAAAAATTTGGGTCAGCAACCCCAACACCCAAACGATACTTCCTAAAGTATTCGGAGTCTAAATCGTCGATAGCATCTTGCTCTCTATCGTGATGCCTAACAAGAGTTTGAATTAGCATTTGATTACTGGCCTCAGTTCTAGGAATATATACCCTCAGTCCTTTGACATTTACCAGGTGCTTTCTCTCCTCGTAATCCGAATCCTCTGTAGGAATATCGATAATGTTATAATAAGTTTCCTCAATGTGAGGGAAAGCCGGATTCAATGGGGGGGATTCCGCATCAACCAGGTTAGTACTCACAACTGCTCTGTGCAGAACCGCTAATATTTTCTGAGGCCTGGCATTGCTGTTCTTCAACCAACCTTCGAGCGCGTCTGAATCGATGATTTGTACCTCCACCGGCTGAACGGGAGGAACAGCTGATGGGGTGACGTTCTCAATTGCCTCCCATATAGTCCTGCCTACTTTGCCATATACGGTGTACTTCAGGATCAAGTTGCATAGCTTGGAGAAAGTTGTCTCGGTCAAAATTTCGATGAACGAAGGTTCATTCAGGGGATCATTCCAGTCATAAGTAGGTGGTGGGTCGAGGATAAAGAATGCTCTTAGCGTATTGGAGTCCACCACGGTAATCATTATGGAAGAGCGCACAAGTTCCGAGGGTACTGCTTGCTCTTTCCCTTCACCAGAGCGTCTTCCGGCTGCCCGACCACCGCCGTCATCATCATCATCACTATCACTGGCAGTCTCTTTGAACTGACAGTCTCCCTGTCCCCTTGATAACTTATCCTTCATACCAAAATCTACGATGAGCAATTGTAGAGCACTCGCCAATGCTCCAAAGGGCATTGGAGTCACCCCCAGTCCAAGTTGGTAGAAAACTATTGAGGAAGGTCCGGTTCATTAAGTAAAGACATAGGGCATTAAACACAGCCACTTCGGAGGTATTTTTATTGAACCAATCTACATTTTGCATTTCTGCCTTCAGGCAGCTATGGATGCTGGTGTACACTTTAGGTAGGTTGAGTATACCTAAAGTCATATTCGCTTTGGTTGCTTGAGTCATCTTAAATACTCTCGAATTCGGGGATATCTCTTCGACAATCGCTGATAGCTCGGTCTAATTCATCTCTGGTCTAATTCATCTCTATCATGCTGCTGAGGGCTTGTCTATTTGTTCGGATGGGTTTGCACTAGAAAATAACTCAGAGGGGTGTCGGAGCTTGAATGTAGGGATCTCCGGCCTTCAATAGAGTACTGACAAGTGCTAGTAAGGGAGTAGTTGAGCCTGCTGGACCTGTTGAGTGGCCTGTTGCTTGGCCTGTTGCTGGGCCTGTTGCTGCTGTACCTGTTGAGTAGAATGCACTATACTTAGACCGTGTAGGAACTTGACCTAATAGTATTATCTTCAAGCAATTGTAACGGCGTCGTGCAAGTAAGGAAGAAGTTCGGGAAAGAGAATGATTAGTAATTGGGATTTCGTTTGTTCTGTCTCTTTTGGGATTTCGGTAGTATTTGGATTTTGTTTCTGTGAGTTTCTGTTACGCAAATTAGTCATCAGTTTTTATTTGGAAGATATATATATGGTTATAGTTTCCCTTTGTACTTTCTTTCTTTTCTCCTTATCCGAACTTCCTGTTATATAGGAATACATTCTATTTTCTGTTCTCGAGCTTCCACGAACCCAAGTTGTATAACTTCCCAGTTGTGCCCCTTCGTACCAGTCCTAGTCTTGCTCTGCCTCTGCGTAACATGAAGCGTTTGATCCCATTCCCGTTCGTTTCCTCCGATAATCTATCGTTTGGAAACTTCGTCTATTATTCATCGGTATTAAGTCTGATATCCCGAACTCAGACCGTGACTCTGCACGAGGTGAAGAGTTTTTACCCAGATGATCCTGACTCAGCTTGTACCCTTCTCTTACCAAAAACACCCGAACTCCATTCCCTGTTCCTCCTTATTGGCCCGTAACAGCAATGTTCTTTCGTGGAGCACTAGTGAGTGGTGGTGGGGTAGCACTAACTCTAAGTAAGATCGTCCATATAAGAAGTTCTAGTGAAGCACTGGTGCGTTCTGAGGAAGAATTGGAGACTGCTAATAGTGGGCCTCTTGTTGGGCCTGTTGCTATGTCTTGATCGTAATCTATGTATTGTTCAGAGAGTCTAGAACCAAAGTCAGAAAAGGAGTCGGAATCAGTTAGGGTTGCTCCCCAATTACTCGAGAAGATCCCTTCAGTGTCTGATGGAGCTAGGTTAGTATTTGGTGGAGTCCGGGGTTCAGTCTGGATGGGTAGAGATAGGGATTTTGTTTTTGGCTCTTCTTAATCAGGGTGAACCCGGAAAGTAACAGCGACTGCCTCGAGGGTGTTTCTGGTATCTCCTCCAGGATAAGCTTGACAGTTTTGCGCGACAATTTGCGACGTGAGGAACTTCGGTATTTCTTATGTTTTCGGGACGATTTGTGTTTCTTGTGTTTTCGGTGGGTCTTTTCATTATCGTCTTCATCTATATCACGTAAGTGATTCTTATTGGGAAGATGATTTGTGTTCTTGGAGCTACCAGGAGTGTTCTAAGTGGTGTTCCGACTCTGATAATGTTAACGTATCACTGTGATAAGTATGGTTCTGAAATTGATTGAATTGGGAGAGAGAAATACCATCTTATTTATAAAGATTGCAAAGGTTGAGTCGCTTGAAAAAGGAGTAACTTGAAGGATAAGATTTCAACAGGTCATGTTGAAAGCAATGGAGAACTTCAAGTGGTAGGTAGAGGAGAACTTGAAAGTGGTTAGGAACTTCTTATGAACTTGAAGGAAGGGAGAGCTGCTCTAACACCCAGTACTATCAACTTTTTTCTTGAGTTTATCAAGCGTCCGAGACCACTCACGAAAACTCTAGAAGCACTCGAGAGTGCTCGTACTCAATAATTGCTTGAATATATGATGTTGATGATCTAAATGCTCCAAGCACACTCGGAGATACTCGGACGGTACCAATGGTGATGTCGATAATATTCTGGTGTTGGGGTTGGTATTTGTGTTCTTCTTGTTGTTGATGCTCTGTCCTCTAGGAAGCTGATTAGGAGAGAATGTATTCTTTGAGCTTGTAGTCGATATTAGTGTTGAATTTGGCGCTGAAAATACTGTGTCGATCTTAAGAGACTCTGCAAGTGCTCAGCAAGAGAGTGCAGATGCTCAGAGTGATAGAATCTAGCATAACTACCTGACTGATCGGGGTGGTGAGTGTGTCTTCATGTTCGTGTTTGTGTTTGTATGGGGTTGATGATGTATGACATCAGACTCGAATTGGAAGTCAGCCTTGCCGACAGGGTGCAGGTGATAGCCTCATTGGCTGACAAATGAAATCATTCAAGCACTCTGCAGCAGCATCTGCAGGAAAGAGCCTTTTCGGACTTGGTAGAAAACAAATGTTCAGAGAACTCGGGAGTGTTTTGGTAGCATCGTGAGACTTCAATGAAATCATATTGCCCTTTTCGCCCCAAGCGGTACAGCTTTTCCGCGAACTTCGATAGACATCTTCGAACTACATATCCATTTGAAGCAGATGAATGGTTGGGAAACTATCTTTTAATCCTGGAGCGCAATCAAGAGATACCCAATGACACTCACAACAGCTCAGAAGGCATTCACGATTTCTATTCAGATGCCCATAATTACTCGAATAGTTTGGAGAGCAAGAGTATCAATTATCATGATCAAGATCTCGATAATAATTCAAATCAGGAATCCGATTCATGATGGAATAGGCAGATGAAGATGCAAACAGGCATGGGCAAGTGACAACGATTTATGAGGGTGCTTAGGAGCGTCTCTACCGCTCGGAGGACTACGATGAATGCTCACTAAAACTTCTCCGATACCCATACCACGGATTGAACTCAGCATATGAGTTTATGATGTCACTTTATCTCATACTGTCGAAAGCCACACAAGGAAAGATCGACAGTTTCTTTCTACACGCTCCATCAAGTAGTGGCGAATGCTCCCACAGGACTGAGTAAGGTTTTATAATCAGGTTGGAGGAAATGAATGACATATTGGAAAAGGCGAGCTGGTATCATTCGGAGGTGCATATTTGAGGGCAGGAAATCCCTTACTGTTACCAGGATCTAATGGTAATTATGCGATATGTTTCTCAACGGGGGGAGTAGCGAATATTCCGCAGGGTACGAAGGGTGTAGTAGGGATCGGTGTGGGAACTCGCAATAGGGGCCCTAAGGGACTCTAGTGTTGGTAAGGGTCAACGGGACAAGGGGCGACAAAGCGGTGGTCTTTCCGAGTAGAGGAGAGGAGGATAATATTGTGGAGTAATACACAGCGTAGAGTAATAGACAGCGTAGATACAGAAGACGTTGCGTAAGGAAAGAAAGAAAGAGAAAAGGACAAGAAATAAGAACCAACCCCCCTAATATACCCAAGGAAATCTCAGCGATGACAAATCCCAAATGACGCATACACTAACGATCAACAGAACCCGGTAGAACCCAATAGAACCTTTCTGACTAATCCAACTCCTCGTAACCCAGTACATTCCCTAATCGATCCATGAAAATCTTCTATACTAACAGGCCTTTCAGGAGTCATTAGTGTATGCACCAGTAGTAGAGCATTGTAACGGGTTTCTCTTCTAAGAGGAATAGAATAAAGTAGAATAGAGACGGCCATGCAAGATAGACAATCAGGTTGCAGATTATTCAAAGATACTATCGCTAGAACTCAATAATCTCTAAGGGCTCTGCTACCGATAAGAATTTGGTTTTTCTTTCTGATGAAGACTGGAGAGAACAGGACTGAAGGGCGAGAATGAACCTGAGTACTTATGCTCCGAAGGCCTCTATTCTCTGCTCCTAACTCCTTACTAAGTTCCGGTGAAGCCCTTCCTCGTTGCCGGAAACAATACCACCGCTACCCCGCTTTTCTCTAAGCGTCAGCAGGTGTTTCCGATTCCCAAGGCAACCACCCTTAGTCAAAGCCTTCGTAACACCTGCAGCCTTGGTTGCCACACAACCGAAGCCCTGCATGAATGAGCTGCCGATCAGGTGTAAGCTTAACCATTGCTGTAGAGCTTTCGCTTATTGTAGACTTCCCTAGCATTGTGTTACGAACCATATCGCTGTATCAAACGTATGAGTTATTAGGAAGTCTGGAAGGTTCCGTAGGATTAATAATCGGTTGTTTTCTCCTTTGCTATAAAGAGTCGCTTGTGACTTCTGTTGTCTTTCTTTCTCTTTCTTTACGCAACATCTTGTATTCTACTTTGGGTTATTACTTTGGGGGTTCGCCTCGCTTCAATACATTACTTTACTCTCAGTTCACGTTACGTCTGCTGTCCCTCTTGTCCAGTGCCTCCGCTGTCATGATCTTCACCGCCTCTCTACTCCTCGCCGTGTCCTTCTCGGTTAACTGGCCGACCGCCGTTGTCTCCGTCCTCGTACGGACCTTTACCTCTGTCCTAGGACAGACCTTCGTCGCTGACCTCTCCTCTGTCCTTGCACAGACCGCCGTCCCCGCCTTCGGGTATACCACTGCACCATCCTTCGCCTTCGCGCGAGGCCAGCCCCTTCCCTCCAGGAACCTAACCATGTCCCTCGACCCCTCAGCTTCTACCTCGCCCATGGTTCTTTACACTATGTTGCGTACTTTAGGGTCGACTGACATCCACCAATTCGCTTCGCTTATGCGACCATCGATACCCTCGCTCTCCGCGGAGACCACAGACACCATAATAATGCTTACGAATGCCGCACTCTTCCCTCTAGCCTGTACTATAGCCTACCTTCTCAGTAGACTCTACATGCAGGCCATGAAGGAACCACTCGCCGACCACATTCCACCACTGAAGCCACCCCGGCGTACTCGCCGCCTACAATGCCGCCTCCTCCGATGCTCCATCCCTTGGCAACAACCGACAGGGAATGACCCGGGTTGGTGTTTTTTGACACTAGCCCCCATACCCTTCCGGCCGTACCTCATTGGGTTAGGACCTTACCCATCACCGGTTAAAGTCTTGAACACCCTCCACCAGTTAGGAGCCCCACTACGCCCCGCACTCATCACCCTCAACCGTGGCACCGCCCATGTCAAGGACGGCTCCGGTCCCTATACTACCAGGCGACTACTACGGTCAAGACGGATAGGTACCAAACTTAAGATTGGGCAACTCCACCACCCCGGCGACTGTGAACCATTCGAGATACCGATACTGCTGTCTAGGAACAAGGACCATCTCCACGCCCTAGTCGACACAGGGGCCACTGGGTATGGATTTATCGATGCCTCGTTTGCCCACTCCTGCGGCTACAGCACCGAGCAGCTTCCCACACCTAGGCAGTTACAGGTAATCGACGGCCGACCTATCGCTTCCGGAGCTATCACTCATTCCTGCAAGCTCCGCCTCGAAGTAGGCGCCCACATGGAAGGGATCTCCTTATTTGTCACCCAACTAGGTGACGCTAAGGTAGTACTGGGTCTCCCCTGGCTCCAACACCACGCCGCTAAAATTGAATTCGCCAATCGATCTATCTCCTTCCATGCCGACCGATGCCGACAACATACCGCTGCCTTATGGACCTCCACCCTCGCTTCCTCCCCGCTGACTGCCGCCGCCGCCACCCTGCCACCACCACCGATACCTTCGAGAACTACCGCCACCGCCACTTTACCACCACCCCCGATACCCCCAAGGCCTACCGCTCCTCGCCGTACCATCGCTCTGTCGGCGGCCCGCTTCCGTAGGGAAGCACAACAGCCCGAAAACCACCTCTTCCTCCTGGCTGCTCATCCCGCGGGTCCGAACCCAACGTCGTCCAACTCCACCGAAGAATTGGTCCCTACCATCTACCACCAGTACCTCCACCTGTTCCAAGAGTCAGAGGCCCAAGCGCTACCTATCCATCGGTATATCGATCACGAGATTCCGTTGCAAGAAGGCAAACAACCGCCATTTGGCCCATTATACGGCATGTCGTCAGAAGAGTTGAAGACCCTTCGGGAATACCTTGATGATCGACTGGCTCGAGGTTACATACGCTCCTCTTCCTCCCCCGCAGGAGCCCCCGTCCTATTCATCAAGAAAAAGGATGGCTCCCTACGACTATGTGTGGATTATCGCGCCCTCAATGCCCTCACGGTCAAGAACCGCTACCTACTGCCGCTGATCAACGATACCCTGGATTGACTCAAAGACGCCAAGATCTACACTAAGCTGGACCTCCACAATGGGTACAACCAGATAAGGATAAAGGAAGGGGAGGAATGGAAAACCGCTTTCCGGACTCGGTATGGACTGTTCGAATACTTGGTGATGCCCTCGGACTCACCAACGCACCCGCCACCTTCCAAGCTTTTATGAACGACACCCTCCGGGCCCACCTCGATCACTTCTGCACGGTGTACCTCGACGACATCCTGATCTACTCGAACACGGAGAGGAACACCAGCGACCTGTCAACACCATCCTGGACAAACTGCAAGCGGTGGGGCTCCACTGCAAGCCGGAGAAGTGCGAGTTCCATGTCAATCGTACGGAGTACTTAGGGTACATCATATCGGGCGAAGGGGTTACCATCGCTACCGACAAAACCAAGGCGATACAGGAGTGGAAAACACCTACCTCGGTACACGACATACAGGTCTTTTTGGGGTTCGCAAATTTCTATCGGAGATTCATCCGCGATTACTTCAAGGTGGTATCCCCAATGACGAACCTGTTAAAGAAGGACGCCCAGTTTGTATGGACCCCCGCCGCGGACCATGCCTTCAACCAATTAAAAGAAGCTTTCACCACGGCACCAATACTGAAGCATTTCGACCCCGAACGGGCCTGCACACTGGAAACCGATGCCTCTGATTTTGTCGCGGCCGCCGTACTCTTCCAGAAGGACGACCAAGGAATCCTACACCCAGTGGCCATTTACTCCCATAAGATGACGCCAGCCGAATGCAACTACGACATCTACGACAAGGAGCTGCTGGCGATTGTCCGTGCGTTTGAAGAATGGCGAAAGTACCTGGAACCGAGCAACCAGGAGATCACGGTATACTGCGACCACAAGAACCTGGAACACTTTATGTCCACGAAGATTCTTAACCGTCGCCAAGCTCGCTGGTCCCTAACGCTGTCTTCCTTCAACTTTGTGGTTACCTACCGACCGGGTACGAAGAATGGAAAACCTGATGCCCTTACACGTCGATCTGGAGATCTCCCTAAGGAAGGGGATGAAAGACTGACCCAACAGCATCAGGTTATACTCAAGCCAAAGAACCTCCGTCTAGCCGCCGCACTAGAGGTCTCCAGACCCGCCAAGGTATCACCCGCCCATCAAGAAGAACTGCAGGCTGCTTTGGCCAATGACCCGCTGTCCAAACAATTGATGAAAGACATTATCGCAAGGAAAAAACACTCTCGCTTCCTTCCCATCGGGGAATGCGCAATCAGGGATGGGTTACTGTACTATCAGGGCCTACTATATATCCCCGACAACGCCACTATCAAGCTGGAGATCCTCCGCACCAACCACGACGCACCTTCGGCTGGACACCCGGGACGTGCCCGTACGCTGGAACTCATGTCACGAAACTACTACTGGCCCCAAATGCGAAAGTACGTTGCCCGCTACGTGGACCACTGCGACACTTGCACCCGGATCAAGCCGGCCCGACACGCCCCTTATGGCCTCCTCAAACCTCTCGCTCCCCCAGTCAAACCCTGGTCCTCGTTGTCAATAGACCATGTCACCGGCCTACCAGAGTCCCAAGGATCCAATGCCATCCTCGTAGTTATCGACTGACTTACCAAAATGGCCCACTACATCCCCACTCGAATTACGGTGGACGCTCCCGAACTGGCCCGCTTATTCTTACAACACGTCTGGAAATCTCACGGGCTGCCAAAGGATATAGTATCGGACAGGGGCATGACCTTTACATCGCAGTTCTGGAAAGCACTGTGCAACCAATTGGACATCCAACCTCGATTCAGTACCGCCTTCCACCCACAAACCGATGGACAGACCGAAAGAGTAAATGCGATTATGGAACAATACTTGCGGGGATACGTCAACTACCAACAGGACAACTGGGCAGAATTCCTCCCGCTGGCAGAGTTCGCGTACAATAATGCCACCACGGAGCCCTTAGGGGTTAGTCCCTTCTTCGCCAACTACGGGTATAATCCACAACTAGACATCCTACCCACCGAAGAAAGACACGATGCCACGCCGAAGGAAGTATTAGAGTTTGCCAATTCGATCACCACCCTACAGACCGCATTGCGATCTGAGATCCTGTACACCCAAGCCGCCGCTGCCGATAGCGCCAACACCACCCGACTCCCCGAACCACGACTAGAAGTGGGGGATCTGGTATGGTTGTCGCGAAAACACATACGAACCACGCGGCCATCGGACAAGTTGGACCATAAACGCTTAGGGAAATTCAAAATACTCGAGCGCATTGGATCTCATGCTTACCGACTGGTGCTTCCCACATCAATGAAGTCTCATCCAGTATTCCACGTCTCCCTGCTAGAACCCGCCCGAACGCAACCTCTTCCTGGCCATATACAACCACCCCCGCCGCCGGTAATCGTCGAAGGGGAAGAGGAATTTGAAGTGCAGGAGGTGCTAGACTCGCGGATACGTCATCGGCAACTACAATACCTGGTCAAATGGACAGGCTACGAACAACCCACCTGGGAACCCGCTCGGAACCTCGATGCGGAGTTAGGATCGCTGCAACGTTTTCATTCCCTGTACCCTACCAAACCCGCCTTAGTTCCTAAGAGGACCCCATGGGGGAAGGTATAAGTTTCTTATGGTTTCTTTAGTAAATGAGTCCGCTTTATTTTCCGTTTTCCGGTATTGGTTTTCTCTCTTTACTTGGCTAAATCCTTTTCTTCTTATATTGTTTTCGTCTGCTTGCTCGCAGGAGCTCGCCTTTGGGGGGGAGGAGCTAAACTGTTACGAACTATATTACTAAATGTATGAGTTATTGGGAAGTCTGGAAGGTTCCGTGGGATTAATAATCGGTTGTTACCCTTTTGCTATAAAGAGTTGCTTGTGTCTTCTGTTGTCTTTCTTTCTCTTTCCTTACGCAACATCTTGTATTCTACTTTGGTTTATTACTTTGAGGGTTCACCTCGCTTCAATACATTAACTTACTCTCAGTCCACGTTACGTCTGCTGTCCCTCCTGCCCGGTGCGTCCACTGTGATGATCTTCGCCGCCTCCCTACCCCTCGCCGCGTTCTCCTCGGTTAACCCGCCGACCGCCGTTATCTCCGTCCTCGTACGGACCGTTACCTCTGTCCTCGTACAGACCTTCGTCACTGCCCTCTCCTCTGTCCTTGCACAGACCGCCGTCCCTGCCTTCGGGTATACCCCTGCACCCTCCTTCGTCCTCGTGCGAGGCCAGCCCCTTCCCTCTGGGAACCTAGCCATGTCCCTCGACCCCCCAGCTTCTACCTCGCCCATGGTTCTTTACACTGCCAGGATGAAGGGGCTCCACTATGGCTAATACTCGAGCTTGCTGATGTTGCTCGAATTCTATCGTTGTATATAGATAAATGACTTGCCAGTCATATTATAGTTTCTTCCATCGCCAATTTTACCCTTTAGAGTATCACACCCCATGTCCCCTACAGACCAAACTATACTCTTTTAATAATTTTTCCCGCTTTCCGACACTGAAGGAACTGGTGATACAAAATCTTTACCATAACTCTCCATTGGCGTGGTTAATTTTTTGGTAGACTTCATTTAGAGTCTGTACTAGTAAAAAGCTAAGCATATTCTTTTTTTCACCCGCTCAGATTTCTCTCCGGAAATTTAAACCGATCTGAAACCTCAACTTTTATAGGCTGGCAAAAAGGTTTGAGCCCTACCAAAATTTCGCTATGGTGCCAACAAGACAGTATTCTTAGGCTGAATTTAACAGTATAGGGTCAAGGGGTGTTTTTATTAGACGGAGAGGGGAAGCTGCCATTCTGCACTTGTTTTTCTCCTGGGTCCGTGATATTTTTTCACTCTAGCATAAAATCTAGCAGGTTCAACGGTCTAAATAACTTGTAGGGCTGATTGCGGAGCAATAATTAATGAATAGGATTTGGATTAGTTAGAAAATATTATACATTTATATGTAAACAGAATTCAAAAATACATCTACAAATAGAATTCGCCGGGGTATTCATTTGGACTTATCTTTCAAATAACTAAGCCAGTGCCACCACAATCAAATCTAATCTTATTTTGACTGTCAGTTGTGGCAAATTACTCGCATACTTATTTCTCTGGACGGCATTGTCCTGGACCTGAGAACAGGATTTGCCCCTTCCAGCGATGGCACTCTGTTAAAGGAATGAGGCACATGATACTTGACTGCCTCGGCACTAAGTATCAGATTATGACTATCGTGATTGCAAAGTAGCTTGAGCTCACACATCCTTGCTTAGCCGATGACAAGATCTACAAAGACATAAATTCTATACATCAATTTTACACCTTTAATCACACCATGTTACTTGCATCAAAACCTGTAACATGTCTAGCCTGACTGACATCCCCAGCCCCATACCCAAGTGTACTACATAATGAACCCAAAGCAATCGATCACTAGTGTATTTTCACTTAGCTGCTGATAGGCATGATATCAAATCCTTCATTATGGCCTCCAATTCGGTACAGAGAATCACAAGATATCACTCGTGTCAAGAAAATTCCTGAAATCCCACAAATACAACAAAGTGAACTGATCTCCCATGTATCCTGCGTATCGACTGACACGCTCTCAGAAACCATAATTTCCTTTCATGGATTTTGTTCAATTAATCGGACAATATCACTTCCCAGGAATGAACACCTCCCACTATTCTTCCCACTACGGCAATCAACTGTTAACATCAATACTGTGCCTGTATATTGAACAGCATATTTTCAGAGAAAGCTGAACTCGCACACCAATGTCCAATATACTGTTCCCACAATGGCATATCGGAGTAGAGAATACTATAAATACAAAGAAACAAGTCAAGCTTCCAAGCACATTTGCTTCGCTCCTGACACGATATACATGATATTTCTCTTACCAGAGACTTTCCCCCATAATCCCTAAAGCAATCCGATCTCTAAGGTATCCGTTCCTAGCTTCTGACATGATATATGGAACTATCGCCATTCCAATTCAGTTAGTTACACTGTTTTGGGAAATGCCAATTCTAAGCAATAGTTCTATATCTTTTAAACGATTTAATATTGTAAACCAGATTCTGCTCGTTTCATGGTTGACAATACTACTAAGTCGAGTCAAAAACATATCCTATTTATACATATTGGAACCTAAGCCAAGGCCCGATTTCATTATATACAACCCGTAAGATGTGGCAATATTTAACATTATTGTCCCCTACTGTAGAACAAAGTAGTGCAGGCAGAAGCGACACCAGATTTGTTTTTTTCTAAAGGGGCAGCATCATAATGACAAATGGAGGGATAAGGGAATAGGCTTGGGGGTTGTTTTCCTCCTACCGAAAATACCATGATATAAGGAAAAAGATGGCTTTAGGGTAGTGTATGAGAATCATCTGATCAAATACCCTTGTTGCAATACAAATTAAATCCTCTGCAAACTAGAGATGGAGGTGGAAATAGATGGTGGTGGAGTGGTGAAGGAGGTGGGCTCATGCTTTTGAGAGTAACAAATCGGCCAGCTTGCAACCTTTCTGAGTGTGTAACGTCAAAAAGCTTTTTTTTTTTTTTACAGCATACAATAGATACAGTTCTACGCTCCCCTGAGGTCATCCTCTCAAGCAACCGACAGCCCCTTCTCAACTCCGCCAAGACTTGACGAAGTGCGTGGATCCTCTTTAATAAAGACCTCTCTTTGGTTTCTTTTTGCTAAGACTGGTTGCTTCGATCCTTTTACTCCCATTACTCGGGTCATATGAAAACAAGACACATTTCGCATAATGGCTTGGTTAGCCTTTATCAACCTCAACCACCGGGCCTTCTCTTCACTGACGAAACCCACCCTCACTGGGGGTCTTTTCATACAGGGCCCCTAACTCATCAGATATCGAGCTCGAAGGTTACCTTCCAAAGACCACCAGCACCTGCTCCTGCTCCTCCTTCTCCTCCTCCAAGCCGTCATTTTCAGGTCGGCAAACCTTTCTCCCCCCACCATCTGCTCTTCAAGGGGATGTGCGGTTGGTGGCATACCATAGTCACTATAGCTGAGGTTCTTGGGATACTAGTACTTTTTTTTTCTTTGGTTACGCTATTTTCCTTTGTGTTATCTTTATTTTTCTCCTTTTTTCTCAGGCGGGGGTTTCCTTAGTCATCAACCTTATAAGAGGAGTGCGGTTGGTAGCATACCATAGTTACTATAACTGGGGGAACTGGCATTGGGGATAGTTCTTTACGCCATAGGTTATACTGCATGCGATGGTTGTACCTAGAAACAATTCAAATGACTTCATACACACACACACACGCACCCTTGAGGTTCATATCATACAGGGAGCTAGGATTATTTGGAATCTGCAAAATCTATGATTTATATATCGGCATGGATGACATGGAAGTAGCGAATACAGGGAGTGATATGGATTACTCATTAAAGTTGTACAAGTGCACTAATAATAACTCATCCGTAGATATCCCAGTACTTCTATTTTGTATCCTTTATCTAGAAACAAATGCTCCTCACCGTATCAATTAATCAAAATTCTGGCCCTCTATTGTAGGGTGGATAACATTGCCAGCACATGAATAACTCCAGCGAGTCCACTACCATTCAATGCCTGCGGTACAAGTGAGCACACCCATATGGTTTAACTCAAACAATGCTATAGTCTTTTTATTGTAGATTTAAACCAGGCCTTTGATTTGAAACACCACATAGGTTTGCTTTATTCTTGGGTACCGATATTTACCATACTATGGTTTAAATAAGACATTAACAGTCTTCGTAGCTCTACAAAGTGACAGCGACCCTGTATTGTCTATAAGTCAACTCGATGGGGCTAGAACTCAAAAAACACGAGCTTCTAGTATAGGCTTGTGGTATAGTTCGAGCTTGTGGTCAATGACCGGAGTTACAGGTTCTTTTCCTGAAAAAGGCGACTAAATGGAAAAATGAGATTGGCAAAAGAGGTTTCAATAATATCATTACTCGTAAGTCACCAGAGTATAAGAATTATTATAGGCCAAATTTTGTCTTGTGTATCAATGGGAAAGGCCTGCACTTGACATCAAAGTAGATTCAAAGTCAGCATAAAGCAAACCAATCAACTATTGAAAACAGTGAAGTTCAAGGTATATGGTTGTATATGTTGTAATATCAGATTCGGAAAAGAATCAACTTCATCTTCAACAGATTGAGGGGAGTCAGATGTTGTTTGAGGTATTCCACACCTGAAACTAAAATCTCATAAAGGTGAAGCTCTGCACTGGTCACTTGTAGAGAATAGGTGCGTCACCAGACAAGGGTCTGCATGGAAGTATGAATTAAACAAAAAAAAAAAAAAAAAAAAAAAAAAATTGAGGGGAGTCAAGTAAAAGGCTGAGTGAGATCCTCTGATTCTATGTATTTCAAGAGCATTTTGTGGGAGTTCGGGTTAGTAGGAGGCTGATTATATGAGCTTCCGACAAGAGATGGGTGGTATAGATCATGCATGCTTGATTACTCGTTACTGATCATTCTTTATCACTCGTCATTGAACATGCTTGATCATTCATCTTGGCGGTAATAGGTGGGGGCGAATGAATGTCACATAAAGTACGGGGGTTAAGGGTAAGTACTGAGAAACCTGTTTTGAGGGATTTTAAAAAATGAGGGCCTGGGAAGGGTTCTGATTAGGCTGTTGAATTAAAACAATACTTGGCAGACAAGACAAGTATTTGGAGTAAGCTGGAGACAGCAACCTCTATCACTTCAATGTTACGGGTACACTCGGGAATACTAGGACGAGGTTCAGGGTTCTCGGTAAAAGAATAGTAGAAGATGAGTCAGGGTCACATGGGTGAAAACTCTTCACCTCGTGCGGGGTCAGGGTCAGGATTCGGGATTATCAGACTTGATATCGATAGATAATATACGAAGTTACCTAACGATAGAATGTTGAAGGAAATGAACGAGAACAGGGTCAAGCACTTCAAGTTAATTGAAGCGAGATCGAGACTAGGACTGGCATCAAGGGGCACAACTGAGAGGTTATACGACTTGGGTTCGTGGAGGTTCGAAGACAGAAAATAGAATATATTTTGATATAACAGGAAGTTCGAATCAGGAGAAAAGAAAGAAAATACAACCATATATATATCTTCCAAAACCTGATGATTAATTCACATAACGAAAGCTCATAGAAAGAAAACTCAAATATTGCTGAAATCCCAAAGAGAAACAACAAACGAAAATCCGATTACTAATCATTCTCCTTCCCGAACTTCTTCCTTACTCGCACTATGCCGTTACATTCAATTTGACTCTCTCTTTCACCCAATTTCATCAAATAATAACCCCATACAGAGGTTGAGGGCTTGAAATGTGGTGCAGATAAAGCGGTAGGCGCGGGCAATATTACTGGTTTTTTGTTTGTATTTTTAACAATTAAATTAGATTTTTTAAGTGAAAATATATCAAAACGTCTCAGTATTTTTTTCCCACATAAGTCCAAGTAAAAGCCATCCTGCACCATTGGTTGCTGTGTTGCTACCCCATGGCATTGCTATAAAATCAACCAATGAAAAAAACGGACATGGGGGTGTCTTCGTACTTTACGTGCACACCCGGTAAACGACTGGGTCCGTGTACCATACAAACCACCAACGGGACAATTTTGTATGGTATGCGGTCCTAGTCCTGTTAAAAATACAAGGAGAGGATCGGCCGACGCGATCGGCCCGGGCCTTATCGCTCTCCGGCTCTAAGCGAAATGGATACAAGGATCAGCTGCAGGGTTGCGAAGACCAAGGAGCAGAAAACCCCCCACTTCACCTGTAAGGCAAATCACAATCAGAACGTGGAGAACAGATAGGTACCATGAATAGGCATGCGACGCGGATTTCAGCTGAGATTTTGTATCTGCACATCGTAAAAAGTGTATGGTTTCATTTGAATGTACATAACTCGCTTCTGCAAAGGTTCCCATGACTTCGTCTTGTGTAAATCAACAAACGCAGGTCACCATAAATGCAAGCACTCTATCTCTGTGCAGATCACTATAAACTATAATCATGCGCGTAGGTTCATATTGGTCAATGTTTGTAGTACGGATTTCCTAGTCCTCATAACGCAAAATAGTTAGTAACAAAACTTTCAGCTGGATTTCGGCCATAGATGCTGCTTGTAACACTGTCGATCCGTAAAACCCTGTAGATCACTGCCAAGACTCGGTTGCTGGTCAAAACCGACCTCCTATGCCACCGGCTAGAACTCAAAATCTAAGGGTTTAACCATGTGTACTCTGGACCCGAGAGTGTCCTGACATGCACATCATCATCCAAAATAGGGTTAGCTCGAGGCATTTTCGGGCCGTATTTCAAGAGTACATACGGAGGATGGTAAGATATGCAGCGTTACCTTCATCTATCTTTCCAATCCGCCGTTGATCAAGCTTGAGCAGTGGAAAAGGCGGAGGAGGTACTGGGACTTTTCAAACGTAACTGTACTGCAATGCAATCATTATTCCAAGTTTCAAAAATAATCATTACCGAGATTGCTTTCCAATAGGCACATGGGGTAGTTGGGCGGGAAGAGGGTGGTCTGCACTACCCTACAGTGATCTTTACCCTATCCCTTGTCAAATCTACACCCGGGAGAGTTTTCAAAGCTCTGCTTTGCTGTCACGAGGGGCGAGGTACACAGAGTGGCGATTTCTTAGAACATTACCGTGAGTTTAACAAAAGTATCATAGCTATAGTCACCAGAACTGAAAAAAAAAGGAAAAAAGTCCCCTATGCTTATATAATTAAATATGCTTAAGTAAAGATTTTCACAGAGAAGCATAACTATATTACCAAAAAGAGAGATTAAATTGCTACAGCCTTCCTATGAGAAATAAGATCCAATGACCGAATCTTTATGTCCTGCCAAACTAGTTGGTACGAACCCTTCTATGGATTTAACGAAAACACTTTTGCCGTCAAACTAGGATATGGGACGTGGAATAGACTTCAGGACGTGGAGCGCTGACGTCGACATGGGACAGGGTCGTGGTAACGCGTACGGATGTTAGGAGTTAAATGAAGATGTCTGGGAGCTCTGTTTGCTTTTGACTTGCGCTGTGCTGTATATTGGTTCGGTGTTGCTTGCCGGGAAGGGTAGTGGGAGTTCGTGGCTGGCGCGAGTGGTCTCTTGTGCTTAACTGTGCAGGGACGTCATGGAGTATGTATCATACAGCGTGTTAGCAGCTATACGAAGGTGCCTGGCTCTTTGTTGTTGTGCTGTAGTGCACCTGTAGGTGGCGTTGGTGCGAAATTGTTTGTATCGCACGGTTGCGATCATGGTTCTTGGCGCGAGTGATATCGTATGATTAACTTTACGGAGCTTAGGGATGGTTTCGTAGATCGTGCCACCATGTAAGCGAGGATGCATGGGAGATCGGACTGTTGTGGGATTGCGCTGTACTGCATCTGGGCGCGGCATTGTCGAGGGGATCGGACCTAGGGACGCGGGATATAGAACGTGGGACATGGGACGTTGACATTGACGTAGGACGTGCTCATGGTCTCCTGTGCATATATTAGGAGTTGAATGAGGGTATGTGAGAGCTCGGTTCACTTTCGGCTTGTACCATTCTGTACCCGAGTGGGGTGTTGGTAGAGATTGTCGATCGCCAGGCAGAAAGGTTCTTGGCGCGAGTGATATATTGTGATTAAGTGTACGGAATTGGGGATAATTTCGTAGTTTATCAGGAGCTACCCGAGAGGGCCTGGGAGCTCAGGTTGGTCCGTGGTTGAGCTTTGTTGCGCCCAGGCGTGCCGTTGGTAGGGGGTGAAGGACAGTCGAAGGCCGGGGTTCTTGATGCGAGTGACATCGTGTGATTGGGTTGGTTTCTGGCTTGCGCTGTGATACACTCGAGTACAGCGGTGGCAGGGCGTTGGTGGTGCCGTACGATTCCCTTGGCGGGGACAGCGTGGTTCTTGGAGCGAGTGATCTCTTGTGATTAACTGCACTGGGACGGAAGGGAATGTGTATCACAGAGTTCTCAGGAGCCAGGTGAGGGCGTCTGCTTCTTTCTTTTGTGGCTTATGCTGTTCTGTACCAGGGTACGGCATTGGCGGGGAGCAGTATGTGGAAGATGGGACGTGGGGCTTGGGAGGTAGACGTTGGACGTCGAGATGCATATGGGGACGCGGGACTTTGACGTTGAGTTGGGACATTGACATTGATGTAGGACGTGGTCTGCATGGCGGAGTGCAAAGGTGTTGGGAGACGAGGGTGACTGTGAGCTCGGTTGGCTTTGGGGCCTGTGGGGTGCCGCATGCTGGAGCGGGGCGGGAAGGGCAGTGAGACTTGGTGGTGGTGGTGGTGGTTCTTGGCGCGAGTGATAGCGTGTGATTAGCTGTAAAAGATTAGGGGACGGAGCGAGTTGGGTGTCAGGAGCTAAGCGAGGGTGCATGGGAGCTCGGGCTTCTCTGGGATTGGGCTGTGCTTCCCCCGCCCCTGGGCGCTGTGTTGCTGGGGAGGGGCGGAAAGGACAGGAAACATATATACATGTAATCAGTCGAGGCCGGGGGTCTTGGCGCGAGTGACATTGTGTGATTCGATGCACGAGATGAGGGGACCTAACCGATTGCGTGTCATGGAGCCTCTCAGGAATCCGAGGAAAAGGGGAGGGGGGGGGGGGTGTAGAATCAAGTGCTGCTTCTTAATTGGGACTGTGCTGTGGTATACCTGGGTGCGGGGTTGAGCGGGAGGAGACGTGGGACGTGGATGTGGGACGTGGGATGTGGGTCACAGGATCACACAGCCGTGGTCCGCACGTATATATAGTGGGGCGTGCGCGGGCGCGAATACCGTTATTTTATTTCTTTTCCTATTTTTATTAATATATTACTATTGCTATTATTATTCCTGCTCTATATACACGCTGGTTTTAGCTATTCACACCTCGTGTCGAGTGCTGGAGCTCTGCCACGGAGGCGGCTTTCTAGACTAACTAGTGCAGAGCGTTCGCTCCACCATAATGTCTGGACTAAGGAGATAATGGCAGCGTCTACAGACAGGCGCGGGACCTACGTAATATGAAACAACTAGAGGAATAGATTGCATGGCCAAGCGTGTAAAAATCGCTTTGCATAATTGCTTTGGGAGTCCAACTATTTAATTATGACTTAATTGCAGCACACACCAGAAAAAAACATAAATTCAATTTTCGACGTTCCAATTGCAAATACATGACGGGAATCATATAAACATTTGGCAGAGAATAGTATCGCACGCAGTTACATCTTTAAGAAACCCTATAAAAGGAGAATCCATTTTGTCAGTCCGTTCTATCTTTGTTCAATTGAATAAAGAGTTGACTCACCCGTCGTATTCGAGTTGAAGTAGCACATCTCCATTATTATTGAACATGGCATTTTTGTAAAAGAATGTCTTTGCCCCAGGCAAGACAAACCTGGCGGTACCCTTGAGTGCTGACTCGAGATGCCGCTTTACCTGGTCGAAGGGACTTCTTTCAATACTTCCTTTCAAGGAATTATTCATATGTTCGGCTGCTTCTTGGTGGATGTTCAAGGGCCAACTGTCCTGGTAACTGCTGATTTTGAAAAGCTCGGTTTTGTCTGCTGGTATGTCAAGCGTTATCTGCATGCCACCTTCATGGACAGAAACAAGGGTCAAGTCCAAATCCCAGCTCATGGAGGCGACGGCTCTGTATTACTCAGCATATGTTCGAGGTTAAGAATAACAGACAGATTGCGAGACGCTTACTCAAATCCCTCGCCAGCACCCACGGTATGGCTATTGACTTTGTGCTTTAGAGTTGTTTTACCCGATATCTTGGCCACATCTTTGCCTGGGATAATGCTGATCTTGTTACTCGTATTACCTAATCATCGCCATTATGACGTTAGCAAAGTTATCTAGACTGTCCCTTCGGTAGGGATACTTACACCAAACCTCATTTGTACGGTCAAAGGCATCCTCCCAGCCCTTTACCTTTTTCTCGTGACCACTCTTTTCCCACTTCCATCCTAAGTTGCCATCCTTCTCCCAGGCATAGAAGTCTTTTTCACTATCAAGTCCACTCCCTTGACCTACGCCGTACTCCGCGTTGGCACTTAAAAGGAATATATTGTCTGATACCTCGACCCATTTGACCCAAGCAAAAGTAGCCTCATTAAATACGCGGAGAAGCTGTTGAAGCCCTGGCGTTGGGCCACGATTGAGAAACTTATCCCAGAAATTCTTTCTTGATATGCAGATAGTACCACCCATGCCAGGGATAGCAAAGTTGCCTGAGTTAAGTAATAACATACGTTCTGAGGGGAGGGGATCGTTATCGGTCATTTCGAGGTACAGTAGCATATTCCTGTCACCTTTTTCGTCTGCACCTTGGTGTGGCTTCCCTTCCGGCGGAGTGTAGGGATACCTCTGAAAGATAAGTGAGGTTGGGGGGAATGTGGGTGCAATCCTATTGACGGCTCCGGGATTATCTGTGACAGCGGCGTAGCCCACGGTGGTATTCTTGGGATTTGCCATAATTGAGTTGTTTGGATTACCCCATTTTTGCATCAGATTGATGAAGTAGCCTTTCTCGTTGGCGTTCTTCCACTTTCGGCCATTGAAGGAACTGTCCTTTTCGCTAAATTTAAGTTAGAATTACGTGAGCACTAGTAAGTCAACTTATTAAGAGGTTTTTCTCTCACCTAAAATTCACAATCCTGGCGGCTATATACACAGTTACTTAGTCCTTTTTCACCAAACCTCAAGGGACATCAAGACCTACTGTTGAAATCAAGATAAAGGCGCGTGATAGAGTAGTCTCCAGGCTGATGGATGACATTCTTCACCGCGTCGTACTCAGGTGAGTTCGGGTCCATGTTGATGCTACTAATATCAATGGAAAAGGCGAAATCCCAATCCTTGATGTCGATCGGCTTGCCCAATTCCCTGATTTTAACATAGTTATCAGAAATTACTCGTAGATTATACTTCAATGATTTTGGCAAGTGATAAAGATTCTGCTTACCCCTCGTCATCATCGTAGAGTTTTACCCAGCCAGATAGGAAACGACAATGATAATAAACCGTACCCAAATTATTCCCGTCCACGGGAATTGTGACCGTCCCTGACCTCAACTCGGCCTCCATCTTTCCAACAGGGTGTTTGATCGAAACTTTTGCGAGTTCTTCTCTCTCATTGAATAGCATCAAGAGACTCTGGTTTATGGACCCTTGCGTCACCGCGATTACCTAATTGGGAATAGAGACAGTTTAGTTGACCAACTTATGTGTGGAGACTAGAATTGCGGAAAGACTGGGTTGAAAAGTTCTAATCTGAGATTGTTGACTTTACTCACCTGTGAGAAGTGACATCCTGATGGAGTTTTCAACGTCGTGTTCAGGCGACTGTCAACCTCCTTGGATGAAGCCATTGTGTTGAGCAGTTATAAAGCGTTATAGGCAGATAGACTGAAAGCAGAAGAGATAATTGTTGTAGATGTAAATTTGCTACGGATTCTTACTGACTTCAATAGACCTGGGGAAGGGTCGAGGCATTATATTCATAGATTATCATGGCAACCCTAACCCTTGGTGCGTGATGTCTACGTTCCTGAGGAGCGTCATTGCTAGTAGCTCCTGGGTCAGACATCTGTATGTGAGTGAAGTCCAAATCAAGAAGATGAAACATTTAGCCAGGTGTAGCATAATGGCAGAATGTGGGGGCGGGGTATTTTGGGTTACAAGAGATAAGAGTGCGGATCCTGATTCAGTTCGATAATCCCATGTGGGATAATTCACTACCATCGAGTAGCTCGACAACCTGTCGTACGTAATAGTTGAGCAATTTATGACGAGGATTCAGCTCTGGAAGAAGAGTAGGACATCGGAACATGCAAATCCTTCCTGTACCATAGTATAAACTCACAGATAGAAAAGCTTTATGACATCTCATTAGTACTATCTCCGCGAGTTGTAGAGGTCAAGTGCTTCGGTCTGTCCCAGTTTGGGGGCGCGGGGGACCTTAGGCCCCGCGCGCCCCGGGGATTCACCTCCCCCAGCCAATTCACTCTCTTTCTTGATATTCAATCTTCTCAATCTGCCCCAGTTTTTGGGAGCGCCCCCTCCCAGTAAGTTCACCCTTTCTTGATTTCTTGATCTACTCAATAATTTATCATTTGGTTTGAGTGATATATTTAATGGCTTGTGCTTAGTCAAGTAATCCCTGCAAATCTGCACGACAGACCAACCAAACAGCTTTAAAATGTCTCAGTATTTTTGGGACATACTATATTGTAGTACTATATAGATTGTACTACTATATAGATTGTAGTACTATATAGATTGTAGTACTATATAGATTGTAGTACTATATAGATGAATTGGGGAGACATGCTTAGAATTGGGTACCATGTGTGGGTGCGTGAACTTTACAACCAATCGGGCAAGGACTGTAGGAGGAATTTGCAAAGACGCAACAGCTGAGAGTGCATGTGCTAAATGAACTGCTAATGTCGGGGTTGTGAAGATGGAACAGGTCTTACAATTTTTCTATACAGTGCAATACCTATCTCACCATTCCATCATCAATACTCTTAGGAGGAAAAAAGAAAAAAAAAGCTGAGACCCCAGTTTGAGTATCATCTCCATTGTACGGGTGGAACGTTGTTTCGAATATTCATCTGGGGCTTGCTGATATTTCTGTTCAGCTCCGATCGAGTCTTCCGTCTGTTCTATTAATTTGAATAAACGGACGGTCACACAGGTGGTCATAAAGTTAGAGGCGTTCTGAATCATAATTTGCCGTCCTGCACGGATGCTGAGTGTCATATTTAGCCCACCGAAGGATTGCCTTCCATTTTCTACTGGTTAGCTTCAGGCGGGGTTGAGAAAAAAAGAAATTTCAGTTCGATCCAGAGCGCTCTAAACTTCATCATGTCTGCTTGTTCTAATCAACACGGTACCGCAAAATCTCAGTTAATACGGACGGTTGCAAGGAGGAGCTGAAAAACACCTTAAAGGAAGGGATCAGAGCCCTTTATCGCAGGATTAAAGCCAAAGCCGCTCGAGATTTTGCGGTATATATGCTAATCCACTAGAGTACACCACCTTTTTCCAATTTGTACATGGAATTCGGCTGTGAATCTCGTCTATCAGAATTGATCTTCCGCTACCGCAACCCCAGCCGATACTGCAAGAAACATTTGGAACAGTGGCTGTATAGCGGGTGGTTAGGTTTTTGTAGGAAAATGGGGGTCTTCCTATGGCCCAACCAGCCATACAAACCCTGTTTTCAGACAGACCCATGTTTCTACAATAATTCTACCTCTCGATCGCCGACAATCGGTGACCTGGCATAGTTTGCTCCCCACTGCTCTAGCTACCCGGTTATTGCGGGGTGAGTAATGCCCGCATACGCGCTCGATTGGCGACATGCAACATCATCAGAGTACCCGCTGATCTCGGTAAGTATCTGTCTCCCTAGAACGGATGGGGGTACCGTTTCCTGTAGATCAAGAGCAGGGTTAACGATGCACAACACTTAACGATAATCCCACCTGCGAACAGTTTAAACAACAATAGAGGCTTTTAGTTGGTTGCAATTTTCATTATTTACCCATACAAAAATGCGCCAAGATGCACCCACATATGATAAATTTGTATGTGCAAAGTAATGAAAGTTGCAACCGACTAAAAGCCTCTAAGGACTAGCTATAGAAGCCCTTTGAAGCAGAAACCGCCCAGGAAAGCCCGGCCGGTCAAGGATTTTGATATCATTGGCTTGATTTGTAGTGTCATAACGGTAAAGGTTGGATGCACATAATGGGAGGAATAAGAAGTGAAGTAAATGGGGAAGTCATTGGCTTGATTCTCAATACGAAGAAACATCATTTGCAGGCATCGGCGTTTTGCAATGCTGCACGGACAGTCTTGGAACCATTTCAAGTGCGGAGTGCAAGTGCAGTTCTAAATGTGCACTCCTGGAGTGCAGCGCCAGATCTAGAGTCCGCACTTCAACTGTAAACAAAGGCTGTGATTGGCTCCCCCCACACGCCGGGTCACCAGACAACAGCCAACATTTTAATAGCTTTGCTAAGAGAGCTCATAGAGCGTGCACAACTGCAAAAGGGGGTTCTCACTTTTGGGCGAACTTACAACTTGCATCACACTTTAATCAAGTGCGTGCGGCGTTGCAAAACGCCGATAATCAGCAACTTAGTGACGCAAAGTTGAGCGAATACTTGAGAAACAGGTTTTAAGTTTTCGGCTGGATTATATGCGAATAGCGCACAAATCGAGCCATCCCTTGAATTTCCCCCGATGTCTTGCATTCAGAAAACATCCACGACACGAGGGCAGAGTTCTTCACTTAGGTGAGAGACTAACACTGCTATCCGTAGATTGGATGACAAAATCTGTACAGTTCAGGCATTGTGTAGTTGAAGAGGCTTGTTCTATTAAAACCCCTCCTCCTCCTCCGAGCTCAGTATCGGCTGCAACATCTCCCCAACTTTTCTCATCTTGCCACCAAATAATAAAAGACTCAAGAATCCTCGATCATGGCATCGCTCAATCATGACTCTGAGTTGATGATGCAGCACGTCGCTGCTGTAGCAGTTCCTAACTCCTCCCGCTTTGTTACGGTGAAAAATCATGATGGTAGTCCAATGGTCTTCTCTCTCGGAACGGACAAAAGGCTTTATCTCATCATCAATAACCGTGGCGGTCAGCGCATCCTCATGGATTTTGGCTATGACCTTCTTAGACTCGATAAAGACTATAAGGTGTATGCCTTCGACGTTGCACAGGACATAGACTCCACACTCTACATCATCTTGGCTACGGAAGATCAAAGCTCTGGATCTGATCTTATTGTTCTTACACCGTTCAAACCGGAGGAGTATGATATGGCTGAAAAGTCAACAGATCTGCGTTTACTTAAGATGGCGCAAAAGGGGAAACCCACGAAGACGATTGTCAAGTCAATATATATGGTCTAACTCCGAAATTCTTCCTCCAGTTCCTTCCTCTTACTCTTATCCCCTCTATCATTAGCATAGGCTGTGCATTCAAAATCACCCAGTCACAAACTAGCACTATGTTTGAAATTTGACATTCACCCGCTAACATTGTTGCTGTTCCACAGACAAACTGCAGTAGGGCCCCTGGGCAGCTCTACCCTCCAGTTATATTTGCATTCCAGCCGCTGCATCGCGTTTCTAAGACAGAGGACGTAGCTCGACTGGTTGCTGATAAATCTTCCAACACCTGGGACATTGAATATGACCTTAGCTTGCCTGTGAATGCGTTCAAAATGCTAGCAATACAGCCCGTCAACCTACCCTTGAGAGTCGATGGGCCCTTGCCAGGATTTGTGGCAATCTATGAAATTCAAGGTTGGTAGTAATAACCTCACCATTTCGTTCTCACGGGAGCTTACTAGATTATCATTACCACTTCAGGGCTTCTTCAATTAATCTTCATGGCAACTAAGATGATGAACAGCACCTATACCAAAGTCACTCTGAAATGTCCTCCCGGTATGAACATGCCATACCAACCCCTTTTGAAAGATAATCGACACCTAATCCTTGACTAGGGGCGGCGACCCTATCCACCTTCATCAACTCTGACGGCTATACCGATCTCCTTGTAGGCGGGGCAGGCCTGTACCATTTCACAGCCAAGCAAATCTTGAAAAAAGACGAGGATTATCAACAGCTCAGCAACAGCGGGGTTTTCTCATCAATCAATCAACTCCATGTTACACAGACCACTGAAGGAATTTCTGCCTGGGCTGCCAACTCCGCAAACGGTATCGGCTATCTCACAGCGGGACTAACATTCGAGACACACACAGAACCCGTACAGGTCATCCCCGACTCACAGGGGGGTCAATTCTCACCGTTCAGGCCCAGCAGCAGCGATCCGGAGCAGTTTATCGTCTCAGACAACAATGGAAAGCTCACGTTACTCCAATACGACAGGGACCAGCATCTCTGGGACAACGTTCCGTTTTTCACACCCGCACTCTCTACAACAGTTGAGTTCCGCTCGTATACTACACAGATCACGCTGACCGGTGCCGACAAACTACCACTTGGAAACACTGAGGTATTGCTAAAGAGCTCTGGACACCTTAGGATCACCGTCAATGGGGTTGCAGTCGTCACAAATCCAGATAAGGCTGTAGCTGTGAGAACAGATAGTTCAGGACATATCACGCTCATCATCCCGACGAGTGGGATAGCTTCATACGAGTTTAATGTGATTGGAGCACCTGGCGGGGAGTTGGAAGGCAGATCTTGGGTTGTCGATCCGACAGAGAAAGTCAATAGGGTGCTTGATAGCATTCATAACGCCAGTGACTTGATGAATGCCAGATTGCAATCCGGGGAGAAGCTATTGGCGGGAACAAACCTCACGCAGAATCAGATTGAACAGGCTGCTAAAGCTATCGAGGCCGTACAAAACGCTCGCAAGGATATCTTGAATAAAAAGAGTTCTGAAAAGACGATAGAGTTTGAGGGGAGGGTGCAGTACTCCGTTGCTGCTGCTCCTCCCACCCCAGCCACAGAGTCTATGGTTGGTCCTGAGCCGGAAAGCATTGTCCAAAAAGCTTCAAGCGGAGACGGCTTCGTGGACATGGTTTGGGTGTGTACAATGCCTGAAGCGCCTACTATTTTTATTTTATTCATCCACTGACACCCACCTAGGACGCCTGGTACTGGCTCGAAAGCATGGCATCCAAAGTGGTGTCTTGGTCAATCCAAAAGTTGAAAGAAGGCGCCGCCTTCATAGTGCAAATTGGTGAGAAGGTTTACCGCTGGGTAATGGACGGTTTAGCGCAGATTGGCAAGGCGCTATCTTGGCTCTTCGAAAAGGTTCTCGAGATCGGCGAGAAGGTGATTGAATGGCTTGGCTTCATATTCAATTGGGGCGACATCAAGGCTACCAAGAACTCGATCGTGCATCTTACCAACAGCGCAATTGATTGTGGAGTGGGCTACATAGACACACTTCAGAGCAAGGTAGACGTATTCTTTGACGGGATCATCATTCAGCTGGAGGAGTTCGCCGGCAAGTCACGGCCAGCGAGTATAAATAACGTTACTGCGAATGGTGACTCCGGGGACGAGAAGCCGAAAAATGCCATCAACAGTGCAGGAGCAAACTGGGCGCAGTATCAGGTAAGTTACCATCCTTGTGTCTCATCCGGAGGATGAATTGTCTGACTTGTCTCGCGACAATCGCAGTTTGTACACGGCGGTGGTGCAAGCGCATCGGTCATGCAAGGCAAGGAAGGCAAGCAAGGCAAGGCTACCACGCTCGAACATCTCTGGTCAGATGTGATCGTTCCACTGGGGGAGACTCTCAAGGGTCTAGTAGAAGATCTTGCAGATCTTATCTGCCGACTATTTTTTTTCTCGGGTGATAAGTCACTATCGGTTGATCAGGCAATGGAGCAGATTACGGGCGACATCCTCATCAAGCTTGTAGACGGTATCCGGAAAGTCGCCGTCGGGATCGTAGGAGTGGTAAAGTCCCTTGTCGAGGAATTTAAAGATTTAATTAATACCGAGATCACCATACCCGTCTTTTCCAGTCTCTACAAGAATTTCCTCAGCGGAAATGACCTTACAGTGCTGGACGGTATTGCCCTGATCCTCGCGATCCCGATCACCGTAATTTACAAAATCATCGCCGGGCGAGCACCTCCGGATATGACGGGAGTATCGTATGGCCAAATTATCGACTGTTCAATCAAAGACCAACAACATCTCCTTGAGTTCAATCATTTCAGCAGTGTAACTAGCCTCGTGGGCAACGGAATAGACGGCCTCCTCTCCACCTTATCAATAGCAACAAGCGCCGTACCAGCCAGGAGCACATCCCTTAGCACAAAAACCGTAGGCTCAGCCGTCCTTGACAAGCCAATGAAAGGTGCGGCAAAGGGAGGTGCTGGCGGTTCAGTAGATGTCTCCAAGGGACATTGGAAGGATATGCTAGGCGTAATCTCCCGTCTCGCGAGTATCCCCACCGACTCCAGTCTTCCGGCCTATGAACTACGCTGGGTCTCTTGGGTAATATCTTGCTTAAATACCATCGTAGAGATGGCGTCAAAGCATATTAACGCAGCGGCCTCGGTCGCTGTAGAGAGGGTGGTGGCGGTAATTGAGGGTGCTCTGGCTGCTATCAACTATGCTCTTCTCGTGTCGGTCAAGACAATCGAGTTCCAAACCGCCAGCTTCCCTGGTAAGAATGATACCTACGAAGCCTTGAAGCTTACCTCTGGCACATTCGATCTGTTAGGTGCTTTAAGCGACGGTATTGGTATTATATCAGTCGGCATGTGTTTCACCTCCCCTTTCATTCTATTGGTGGTGCTAACTCTCCTACAGATCCTGCAACTAAGGGATGGGCAGCGGTCTGTTCTGTAGCTACAAAAGCAATATCATATAGTATCGAAGGTGGGGTGGTAGTAGCAAAAATAAGCGATGGAGAGTTTAACGAAATCATCGCCAAGGTTTTGTAAGCGGGGTCTGGCAGTTTCCCGAAGTCATTTTTTGATTCTTAAAGTTTATTTTTATCTTTCGACTTTTTTGGTTTATTTCCTCACATTGATGGGTCACATGGCCTTCTTCTTTCTGGCCGGTATGGTAGACCTGATGCGACAGAGACCAGGGGGCGTTGACTTAATGTTTCTTGAGATGTTTCTTTGTATTAAAGGACTTTAGAATGAAATATTGAAGTTACACGTATAGGGAAGATTACAAAACAGTTTGGATTTAGTTTAGGATTAAACCCTTCTCAGAACAACTCAACACAACACTATAATGGAACACAGATGAAGGACAGAGTCTCGAACTACAGTACAAAAAAACGGGGTGAAATCAGTACTGTATGACTATGGGATTTAGTGAATAATGCGAAGTTAAACCGGCATTACAAAAAGAATACCGTAGTAATGCCGTATTCTTGCTGCATTACTAGCGCATTAACGGGAATAACATAGCGAATCCATACTCTTTTTTGGTATTGTAGTTATCAAAACAAAAAGGTGGCTTTATATCCAGCACCACGCATGAATAGAATACCAACTAGATATGCTGCTGAATAGCACCACCCATTGGAAGGCGAAAACCAATCAATCCATGCACATCAAATACTCGTAGTTTTTTGGCGTTTCCGGACGTAACTGCTATTGCATGCCATACAAAAGATAGCCTTGGCGAGTTTTTTCTGTGTATGCAATAGCAGTTGCGTCCGGAAACGCCAAAAGACTACGAGTTGATAGTGCGGTCATAAAGCAGCGCAAAACAAAACATAACATACATAAAATAGAATAGTAATAAACGTAAGTCTCGTACCCAGCCTTCTTCTAATTAGCTATTAATTACGCTGCGCTTAGGCTGCGGTAGCGAGAGGCGCGGCCCCTGGCGCCACGTGATCCGGGCTGGGCACGAGACAGGACCAACCATAGGTTTGCAATACCTACAAGCCCAAACATATATTGCACACTTGCTAGAAGATATATAAGAAAAGTTAACGTGGTTCCTGTCATCGTTGTTACAGCCGCACCTTTGCCGGAGCCGATAGTTGACATAGCTACGTCTGACACAGCCACACGCAAACTCGCAGACGTTGTAGGCTGTTTCTTCTGTGTTCTTCTTCTTCTTTCTCAACGGACCAAGATAAAACACGAAACTCAACGATGATGTAAATCTGTCCCTGACTGATGAACTAATGATGATTGATTGTGATGTATCTAAGAGAGAGAGAAAGTCGATAAAAGGTGACAACATGAGACTACGCTAAACTTGTCCTCCTATGTATATCTATCCAATAAAAACAATTCTTCGTTAAAAGTATCGGGACTATAGGGCATATGACATTAGCAAGAACGAGTCCGCTATTAGGTATATGCGTAAACACCTGAATGAACAGCCAACCTCCAGCTCGTCCAAATATACCAATACACTCTATACGCCTCACGTATCCAATTGTTCCTACAATTGTGTATTATTGCGTTTTATACGCATTGGATACCATAAACACCCCTATAAACGAACAATGCCCACCGTTCCAGACAGGTCTCTATACCATTCTCCTAATTACAAATAAGGAATACTAAATGACTTACTCGTGTAGGGCGGCCACTTATTTTAAGGGCAACGAATACATGACCGAATCATCGAGGAGTCATTTAGGCTCTCTCAAGAAGAGGTCAAAGGATATGGAGAGAATTTGAGCACTTGATGTGCAAGAGTGCCGTAGAGTACTTTCCATTTGAACATTAGAGGATTTCATACGTCTTAACAGTTTTTTCATGAGAGGAGAAGTCCCATGTGTTTAGAAGGTATCGGTAGGGTTAGGGTTGGGAACTCCATATCAGACGTTTGTATACCTCCATGTCAAAAATCCTGGGGCAAGCCCCCGTAGCAACTCGCGGTTGCGTTGTCCCGGGACCTTTGAACAAGAACTATACCTTCGTACCCCAGTATTCCTCCAATCACCCCCCCCGGTTGCTGGTGCCCTCGTTTTCCCGCTCTTACGCTAGAGAAATTATACCGTAGACCGAAAATCTGGTAGCGCCTTAGCATGGTTATGAACCAATGGGAAACCAAGAAACACTTCCCCCCCCCCCCCCGGGGGAGAAACTGCCTTAGATGGTTTAATACCGTGATAAGGCGCTACCGAATTTTTTCAAGTTCCCACAGTACTATAAATATAAGTACTCCACTACTAGTATTAGAACCGGAGGTAGTAACCAAGGAGGTATTTGGGGGTATCGAGTGCTTTTATCCCAGTTTTGGGAGGCAAGTCACTGGGACACACACACCCTTGGTTTCCGGTTCTTATCCCTGCAGACATGCTCGCCAATCTTCAAATAAGATGCCCCTCCAGCCCTTAAATCCACTACACGCATCCCCAGATACGCCCCTCCAAGCATCCTAGACGTCAAAATGCTGTCAGTCACGGGGAACCGCAGACAACAACATCCCATCAACAAAGCAGACCAAAGTGATGAGATTAGGATAAAGCAAATATATATAGAGAACTTTTTATGGCTGTTCTGACCGATCCGCCAGGGCACCGTATGCATCAGGGATACGACCCGGGTGACCGAGTGGATAAGGCACGAATGGACTTATGGATAGGGTGCCAATACTTTAAAAATTGCCACAAGATCACGGAGACAACTCGGATGAAAAGAGTGTGAGATATAGCATTGTCCGATTGATAAGATAAGTTACAAGATTCTCAGAACCCGATGTCTAGAGAAATATATGTAGAGAGAAGTGTAGTAATTGAGCGTTGTATTCAAACTAACAAGAGAAGGGGGAATGCCCCATATTTATACTAAAGAAAGGTAACACAAAACATAATGAATCATAACCGTATCAGTAATAGAAAAACATGACTAATAAATACCAGAGAAAGAATGAGTCAAAACCCGTGACTCATAATGACAAATGAGAATCCTCCAATACTATGAAATGTGCTGAGCGTACTATTTCAAGAATGTCTTCCCCTGTTCTTCCTCACCTGCATGTCCTGATAGATCTCCTCGTAGGCTGAAAATTCTCCATATTCAACAGCGCTCTTGTTCTTCAAAAGAGCCCATGCGTCTTCGTTCTGAATATTCATATCTTCCTTGATGAATTCAACAATGATAGCGGGTGTAATCACTTCAGTACAGATGGCATAGGAAAGAGCCTTATTATCACCCCCTAATATCATGGCAGCTTCTAGGTTCTGCCTGTGATTACTACCAAAGTCTTCGAATACAAGAGCTCCTAAGCTTGAGCGTGCTGGTAATGGAGGTTAGTAACAGTTTTGACGGAAATTATCTCATGCAATACCTTGAGTGTAGTAGCCCCCCGGAAGAGTTTTCATCTGACTTTCAATATCCTCTCTGACCACGTTGACTCTCCTACCACTGATGCGAGCAGGTCTCCTGTTCCGAAAATTCTGGATTAAGGGATTGCTCCTATAGTTCACAATGAGGTAGGATATGAGTTCTCGAAATTTAGGCGACTCAATTCTAGAACGAATATTCTCCTCTAAGGTAAGCTGTATCACAGAGCTTAGAGAGGGCCAGCCAGACAATATTGCCTCCCGTACTACTCGTTCCTGGGACTCTGATATCCAAATCCTTCGTTGTAAATTAAACAGGGTTTCAACTAGACGATTGGTTAGTTTCAAGCCCGCTGAATGATTCTGATTACTTGCTGTTAGATTCTTGGGTGGCGACGTCAATAGGCAGCTCAGGGGATAGATCCTGAACTGTTGGTTATCTGATATGAATGGTATCCTCAACCATAGTGTCCTCTATGACATCGTCCATCGCTTCATTCTCTTCCCCGTCTTCCTCTTCCCCGTCGTCCTCTTCCCCTTCTTCCTCCGCCACCTCCTCCTCGACATTCTCATGTATCTTAAACGGGTTCTTGCAGGGACTCTTTCCTCCTGCCTTGGTGTAGTAACAGCCTGCACTGCATGGTTCGTTCTGTTTAAAACAAGCACAGTAGCGGGTGTTGCACACCCGCCTACAGTCACAACGGGTAGCGGCGGTTGGTGGATTGACTGAGTCGGAAATGCTTCTCCTGAAGGCAGCGGCCAATGTAATCAATGTCGTTGGGGTATCAGCATTGATTCCGTTATCGAATGTTGGTGGAACTACTTCCATTTCGCGAGTTGGATAGTACTCTCTTAGGATACCGTACTTACATTGAAGCTGATATCTGTCGGGGTGCGGCTTGTGACGGATGATGCAGAAGAATCTGCTCGGGTCTGTGGCATTGCGGTGCTTTCTTGGAATCTTAACTGCCACCGTATCACCTTTCTCAAACCTGGTCGGTGTTAGGAACCTTATACCACTACGATGGAATGTCAGGATGACTCATTCTGGTATGGCATACCAGGTTAGATCGCTACGCATAGGAAGAATGGGCCAGCAGGGCTTTCCGAAAGTTTCCTTAATATTAGTTATTGCATTTTGTGATTTATTACTTATAAGTGTTCTTTACCACTCTTTGTATTTTTTTCCTTTCTTCTTTACCCAACATCTTGTTTTCATACCTTGGGTTTTACTTTGGGGGAATTACTTCGCTTCAATACATTTTCAATTCTCAAGCCACGTTACATCTCCCGAATACATATGACTTCCTCTATTGTCATCACTGTCATCCTTGAAATCATGGTTCTTGCTACTATCGCCGTTCTCCTTATGCCCCTGGCTGCAATTGCTGTACACCCCTCGATCCTAGTTACCCTTGCCATCTTCACGGTCTTCTTCATCCTCGGAGGAGCCACTGTCTTCGGTCTCGCATGAACCTACTTGATGTCCCTCGGCCTCACACCCTATGCCTCGCCCATGATTTCTTACAGTCGGATTCCAGGTTTTGTTGATTCATTTAATCATTTTCTCCCGCGCATTGCTAGTATTCTCATTCACTTCATCTAGAAAGGAGTTTAGTGTTGTCAGATCAGGTGAGGAGGTATTATCTCTAAATCAGGATCCAGTTTCGCTTCCTCCAATATTTACAGTCATTGCAGGTAGAGCAGATGATATCGTTCCGGAAGATTGTTGAGATCCTTGGGTTGGTGGCTGGTATGCTTCATTCTCCTCATTCAATAAAACTTTATCAATAGCGCTGTTATCAATATCTGATATCGTATAGTGAGAGGAGTGCTCTGTTGGCGTTACTTTAGTAATCAATTATAAGGAGGAAAGATTGAAGTAATACCGGCTTGAGCGTTCTCTAAAGACAATGTTTGATTGTGTCTTGAAACAATCTCGGGTTCAATTCCTACAGGTCCTTGATACGGAGAATGAACAGCCGGCATCGCTTCCGATTCTTCTTAACCACCAGAGCCTCTACTTCATACTCGATTTCAATTTCTGATCTCTCGAGAACCAGAGTACCGTGGTATTCCATCTGTTGCTTAAACATAATCTGATACGGTGTTTTCTTGGTACTGGAATGACGTTCATTATTCATTGCTAGTATAGTTTCCGGAAGTGCTCGATGCTACGATTAGGAATAATTATCAATCTTCTAAGTAGCTATCTTCGATATGGGTACACCATTCGCTTGTTCAATCACTCTCTACATTTGAGGATGGTATGCTTTGCTATTGATTACTTTGATTCCATGGTACCTAGCTATATCAAGCAAGCAACTATTGAATTCGGTAACATTATCGTTCTGCAATATGTGAGGAGGCCCAAAATGCATTATCCAAAGAAGCAAAACATCCTTCACCTCTGAGCTACTCTTCTCTCGCATTGCTAACGCAATCAAATATTTGCTAAAATGATCTCGTAAGTGACATATCCATTTATAAACCTGAGCTCGATCTCCACGCATGTCGGTCAGGTCAGTCTGTATCTGCTCGGAGAGACTGGTAACTTTGATAGGTTTTAAAGGAAGAATGCTTTTTGTGATTGATGGTAAGGAACATGTCTGGTACAAGCATAAGAGAAACTCAACATCATGCTGTTTAACGCTATAGAATCGTGTTGCAATCTCCTGATATGTCTTCGAAACACCTTTGTGGCCCCTCTGACAATGCACCAATACTATCTTGTCAAATGTCTCATGTGCAGGTACAATATACTAGGGGTGGGCCACTTCGCGACAGTGAATTGTATTTGCCTATTGTGGGCGCAAGTAGTATGTAAATTATAAATGTGGCGAAAGAAATATGCAAGTTATTTAGTGTGAAAAAACATGTTGTGCTAACAAAGCTACTTGACTTAGTAGTAAATATCTGAGACATGTCCACAATGTCATGGGTTCAATCCATAACGGGAGCGCAAGGTGTGAAATTCAGATATTAGCAAGAGGATAGGACCTATTGATAGCCTTATAGATTCTGGTATTTATGCCTCCTATAGGGAGAAGGGTTGTCTGATTGGGGAGGCTACGGCCAGTGATGCAACAGTTTAATGCCCCGGTTATCTACTTTATCAAGCAGTCTGTAACAAAATTGATAAATTCACACGATCGTAGTCGGGGACTGGAGTAAATAACTAAGGTAATTTGATACAGTCTTTTCCACGAATCTTTTCAGGTATGGTTCAACAATTCAATTTTTTCTAGTTACAAAATACACGCTAACAAAAATACAAACACAAACTAACTAAACGCAATTTTTCAACCTGTTTCCCGGGATCCCTAATACACTCTTATCTCCCACCCTTCCCCCCAATAAAATTCTGAAAATCTTAAATAATATTTGTAAATATTATAAGCTTCAAGAAGGAGGAATATACTTACCATTTTTGTAATACTTCCAATGTTACTACCAGTCCTACTTTGTACCCTTTACTCCGAAAACCCATATATTTCAAGGGGGCGAGTAGCGAGTATTCCACAGGGTATGAAGAGTGTAATAGGGGACGGTATGGGAACTCGCAATAGGGGTCCTAAGGGACTCTAGCGTTGGTAAGGGTCAACGGGACAAGGAGAAAGCGAGACGGTGGTCTTCTCGAATAAAGAAGAGGACGATAATATTGTATAGCAATAGACAGCGTAGATACAGAAGACGTTGCGTAAAGAAAGAAGAAGAAGAAGAAGAAGAACGAGAAATACAAACAACCCCCCTTAATATACTCAAGGAAATCCCAGCGATGATAAATCCAACATGACTCATACATTAACGATCAACAGAACCCGGTAGAACCCAATAGAACCTTTCTGACTAATCCGACTCTTCGTAACCCCGTATATTCACTAGTCGATCCATGAAAGTAGCCCCTCCCTTCAAGCGTGAGCTCCTGCGAGCTTTAACCTTAATCTTTCCTTCCAACAGTCCAGGTTTGTCGGGGTAACACGTGTGGAAGATATCAACGGCGGCGGTATTATCGTAGTATTCGGCGGGTTCCCAGCTAGGGTCAGTATAGCCTGTCCATTTAACAAAATATTGCAGGCCACCATTCCGTGTTTCTCACGAGTCCAAGATTTCCTCAACTGCATACTCTTCTTCCTGCTCGACGATAATAGGTGGGGGTGGTGGGTGAATTTGCCCCGGGACAGGATCATTTGCAGCGGGGTCTAGCAATGATACATGGAAGACGGGGTGCATCTTCATACTCCTAGGCAGGTCGACTCGATATGCATATGGCGATATGATTTCTTTAACGGGGAACGGTCCCAGTTTCTTCCAGTCCATCTTCCGGGAGTTACGCGTAGTTCGGATGTTTTTTGCTGAAACAAACACCATATCGCCGATATCGTACCGTCGAGCCGGCGTTCGTTTGGTATTGACGGCCAGCTCTTGTTGATCTTGCACTGTGCGGATGTTGAAAGATAGGTATTCGTGGAGTTCTTTCATCTTCGAGGCGAAGTCTTTAGCATTGAGACTTGGTGGGGTCCTGTCAAGCGATTTAATCGTCACTGTGAACCGGGGGTGGAAACCATAGTTCGCGAAGAATGGTGTAGCTTTAGTGGATGCGGAGACCTGATTGTTGGCGGAGAATTCTGCCATAGGAAGCCATTTTACCCAATCGTCCTGTTGATAAGAGACATACCCACATAGATATTGCTCCATTACAGCATTCAGCCTTTCGGTTTGGCTGTCGGTCTCCGGGTGGAAGGCGGTAGACATCCTTGCTTCGATGTCGAGATGTTTACAAAGAGCCTTCCAAAACTTGGCTGTAAATTGCGTACCACGGTCGGAGGTAACGTGTGTGAGTAGCCCATGGAGCTTCCATATGTTTCGCAGGTATAGTTGGGCGACGTCTTCGGAGTTGACAGTAGTATTACAGGGCAGGAGATGTCGAATCTTTGTTAACCGGTCAACAACTACCATAATTGCATCGTACCCTTCACTCTCCGGTAGGCCAGTAACGAAGTCCATTGATACCTCCTGCCATGGTTGTTCGGGAATCGGTAAAGATCGAAGTACGCCGAGTTTTCCATGGGTATTGGACTTGCTTCGTTGACAGGTGTCGCAGTTCCGAAGGTAGCGGGCAATATAATTCCGAATAAGGGGCCAGTAGTATTCTCGACTGATGAGTTCGAATGTTTTATCGCATCCCGGGTGTCCAGCAAAGGCAGCATCATGGTTAAGTTGGAGGATTCGAAGCTTAAGAGGGTCGTAATCAGGGACATATATGCTGCCTCGGTAAAGCAATCGGCCTTCAATCTCGGTGCATTCGGCGAGTGATATGTCCTTTGATTGTCGTTCACCTTTGTTCCGCATATCCAGTACCTTTTGTGGAAACGGGTCAGCATTATATCCTTCATCTAATAGTATATGCAGTGAAGCGTTCTTTTCAGCGGGCTCGTTTGAGAAAGAACCCGCCAACAAATTTAGCTTTGCATCAAGATTCTCCTTCTTCAATACAACTTGACTCTGATGCAATTGTCTTTCATCCTCCTCTCCAGGGAGATTTCCTGATCTTCTTGTCAACGCGTCCGGTTTCCCTCCTTGTTTCCCTGGTCGGTACTTAATGACAAAATTAAACCGTGACAGATATTCTGCCCACCGTGCTTGTCTCCGGTTGAGTTGTTTCGTACTCATAAAGTATTCGAGATTCTTATAATCGGATATGACGGTGATTGGGTGTGCAGCCCCTTCAAGTTCCAGTCGCCACTCCTCAAAAGACCGAATAATTGCCAGTAATTCCTTGTCGTAAATCTCATAGTTGCATTCGGCGGGGGAATGCTTTTTTGAGAAGTATGCGACAGGTCGAAGGATACCATTGTCATCGTATTGGGAGAGTACACCGGCAGAGACATAGTCAGATGCGTCGGTTTCCACAGTAATTTCTTTCTCCGGGTCAAAATGAGTAAGAATGGGAGCCGTGGTGAAGGCTTCTTTCAGGGCGTTGAAGGCGGTTTGGGCTTCGGGTGTCTATTCAAATGATATGTCCTTACGTGTCAGTCTGGTAAGGGGAGAAGCCAGTTCCGAGAATCCGCGTATGAATCGGCGGTAAAAGTTAGCAAAACCTAGAAATGCTTGTACATCCTTAACTGTTTTGGGGACGGTCCAATTCTTCACCGTCTCCACTTTCCTTGGGTCCATTTTAATACCATTGGGTTCGATAATAAGGCCGAGATAAGTGGTGCTTTGTGTACGAAATTCGCATTTCTCCGGTTTCAGCAGTACTCCATTTCTTTGCAGGGCTTCCAGGACCTTTTCGACGTGTACTTGATGTTCCTCGAAGGTGTCGCTGTAAATGATAATATCGTCAAGGTAGGCTGTACAGAACATATCAAGGTAGTCGCGGACACAATCATTGATGAAATGTTGAAAGGTGGCTGGTGCATTGGTAAGGCCGAAGGGTATCACCGTATATTCGAAATGTCCGTAACGCGTTCGGAAGGCTGTTTTCCATTCTTCACCCTCAGCCATTCGGATATGGTTGTACCTTGGCGAAGGTCAAGTTTGGTATACCACTTGGCTTTGGAAAGGCGGTCGAGAGTTTCCCGGATGAGTGGCAGCGGGTAGCGGTTTTTGACAGTAAGTTCGTTGAGGCCACGATAATCGACACAGAGGCGGAGTGTTCCATCGCCCTTTTTAACAAATAGGACAGGGGTACTGGCAGGCAAAGAGCTGGCCTGAATGAACCCCTTTTGGAGGTTGTCCCGTATGTATTGTTTCAGCACAATGAGTTCCTCGCGGGACATACCATAAAGTGGCCCAAAAGGGGGCTCTTTCCCTTCCTTAAGCGGTATCTTATGGTCATAGGGGCGGTGAGGCGGCATCTCGTTAGCGAATTCTTCGTCCATCATCTCAAGGGGGTGAGTAGCGAGTATTCCGCAGGGTACGAAGAGTGTAATAGGGGACGGTAGGGGAGCTCGCAATAGGGATGCTACGGAGCTCTTAGCGTTGGTAAGGTTCGACGAGACGAGGAGAAAGCGAGGCGGTGGTCTTCTTGAGGAAAGAAGAGGACGATGATATTAAACAGTAATAGACAGTGTAGATACAGAAGACGTTGCGTAAAGAAAGAAGAAGAAGAAGAAGAAGAAGACAAAATACAAACAAAACCCCCCTTAATATACTCAAGGAAATCCCAACGATGACAAATCCAACCTGACTCATACATTAACAATCAACGGAACCCGGTAGAACCCAATAGAACCTTTCTGACTAATCCGACTCTTCATAACCCCGTACCTCCACTAGTCGATCCATGAAAGTAGCCCCTCCCTTCAAGCGCGAGCTCCTGCGAGCCTTAACCTTAATCTTTCCTTCCAACAGTCCAGGTTTGTCGGGGTAACACGTGTGGAAGATATCAACGGCGGCGGTATTATCGTGGTATGCGGCGGGTTCCCAGGTAGGGTCGGTATAGCCCGTCCACTTAACAAAGTATTGCAGGCCAGTGTTCCATAATTCTCGCGAGTCCAAGATTTCCTCAACTGCATACTCCTCCTCTTGTTCGACGATAATGGGCGGGGGTGGTGGTTGAATTTGCCCTGGGACGGGATCATTCGCAGCGGGGTCTAACAATGATACATGGAAGACGGGGTGCACCTTCATACTTCTAGGCAGGTCGACTCGATACGCGTATGGCGATATAATCTCCTTAACGGGGAACGGTCCCAGTTTCTTCCAGTCCAGCTTCCGGGAGTTACGCGTGGTTCGGATGTTTTTTGCTGAAACAAACACCATATCACCAACATCGTACCGTGGGGCCGGCGTTCGTTTAGCATTGACGGCCTGCTCCTGTTGATCCTGCGCTGTGCGGATATTGGAACGTAGGTGCTCATGGAGTTCCTTCATCTTCGAGGCGAAGTCTTTAGCATTGAGACTCGGCGGGGTCTTGTCAAGCGGTTTGATCGTCACTGTAAACCGGGGGTGGAACCCATAGTTCGCGAAGAATGGTGTAGCTTTAGTGGATGCGGAGACCTGATTGTTGGCGGAGAATTATGCCATAGGAAGCCATTTTACCCAATCGTTTTGTTGATAAGAGACATACCCACGTAGATATTGCTCCATCACAGCATTCAGCCTTTCGGTTTGGCCGTCGGTCTCCGGGTGGAAGGCGGTGGACATCCTTGCCTCGATATTGAGGTGTTTACAAAGAGCCTTCCAAAACTTAGCTGTAAATTGCGTACCGCGGTCGGAGGTGATATGTGTGGGTAGCCCGTGGAGCTTCCATATGTTTCGCAGGTATAGTCGGGCGACATCTTCGGAGTTGACAGTAGTATTGCAGGGCAGGAGATGTCGCATCTTTGTTAGCCGGTCAACCACTACCATAATTGCATCGTACCCTTCACTTTCCGGTAGGCCAGTAACGAAGTCCATCGATACCTCCTGCGATGGTTGTTCGGGAATCGGTAAAGGTCGAAGTACGCCGAGTTTTCCATGGGTGTTGGGTTTGCTTCGTTGACAGGTATGGCAGTTCCGAACGTAGCGGGTAATATAATTCCGGATAAGGGGCCAGTAGTAGTCTCGACTGATGAGTTCGAATGTTTTTCCATGTCCAGGGTGTCCAGCGGAGGCAGCGTCATGGTAAAGTTGGAGGATTCGGAGCTTGAGAGGGTCGTAGTCGGGTATATATATGCTGCCTCGGTAAAGCAACCGGCCTTCAACTTCGGTGCATTTGGCGAGTGATATGTCATTTCAGTGTCGCTTACCTTAGTTCCGCATATCCAGTATCTTTTGTGGAAATGGGTCAGCGCTATATCCTTCATCGAATAGTCCATGCAGTGAGGCGTTCTTTTCAGCGGGCTCATTTGAGAAAGAACCCGCAAACAAACTTAGCTTTGCGTCAAGATTCTCTTTCTTCAATACCATTTGACTCTGATGCGATTGTCTTTCATCCCCCTCTCCAGGGAGATCTCCTGATCTTCTTGTCAACGCGTCCGGTTTCCCTCCTTGTTTCCCTGGTCGGTATTTGATAACAAAATTAAATCGTGACAGGTATTCTGCCCACCGTGCTTGTCTCCGGTTGAGTTGTTTGGTACTCATAAAGTATTTGAGATTCTTATGATCGGATATGACGGCGATTGGGTGTGCAGCCCCTTCAAGTTCCGGTCGCCACTCCTCAAAAGACCGAATGATTGCCAGTAATTCCTTGTCGTAAATCTCGTAGTTGCATTCGGCGGGGGAGTGTTTTTTCGAGAAGTATGCAACAGGTCGGAGGATACCATTGTCATCGTATTGGGAGAGTACACCGGCGGAGACATAGTCAGATGCGTCGGTTTCCACAGTAATTTCCTTTTCCGGGTCGAAATGAGTGAGAATGGGAGCCGTGGTGAAGGCTTCTTTCAGGGCATTGAAGGCGGTTTGGGCTTCGGGTGTCCATCCAAATGATGTGTCCTTACGTGTCAGTCTGGTAAGAGGGGAAGCCAGCTCCGAGAATCCGCGTATGAATCGGCGGTAGAAGTTAGCAAAACCTAGGAATGCTTGTACATCCTTAACTGTTTTGGGGACGGTCCAATTCTTCACCGTCTCCACTTTCCTTGGGTCCATTTTAATACCATTGGGTTCGATAATCAGGCCGAGATAGGTGGTGCTTTGTGTGTGGAATTCACATTTCTCCGGTTTCAGCAGTATTCCATTTCTTTGTAGGGCTTCCAGTACTTTTTCGACATGTACTTGGTGTTCCTTGAAGGTGTCGCTGTAAATAAGGATATCGTCAAGGTAGGCTGTACAGAACATATCAAGGTATTCACGGACGCAATCATTAATAAAATGTTGAAAGGTGGCTGGTGCATTGGTGAGGCCGAAGGGCATTACGGTGTACTCGAAATGTCCGTAACGCGTTCGGAAGGCTGTTTTCCATTCTTCACCCTCAGCCATTCGAATCTGATTGTACCCTTGGCGAAGGTCAAGTTTGGTGTACCACTTGGCTTTGGAAAGGCGGTCGAGAGTTTCCCGGATGAGTGGCAGCGGGTAGCGGTTTTTGACAGTAAGTTCGTTGAGGCCACGATAGTCGACACAAAGGCGGAGTGTTCCATCGGCCTTTTTAACAAATAGGACAGGGGCACCGGCAGGCGAAGAGCTGGCCTGAATGAACCCCTTTTGAAGGTTGTCCTGTATGTATTGTTTCAGCACGATGAGTTCCTCGCGGGACATACCATAAAGTGGCCCAAAAGGGGGCTCTTTCCCTTCCTTAAGCGGTATCTTATGATCATAGGGACGGCGAGGCGGCATCCCGTTAGCGAATTCTTCGTCCATCATTTTATGAAATCTCTTGTACCGGGTTGGGACCCGGTTCCTCCAGTCTTGCTTAGGGGCCTCGCCCGTTGCTTGATCTATTTCCTCAATAGTTGTACTAAAGATTTGGAGTTTGTCTCTTCGAGCAAAACGACAAAGAGCAGCTGAACTGACGAGGTGAAAACGGGGGGTGGTGCAACCCCTCTAATGGGAACGGGTATCGGGGAAGAGTTGCACTTGCGTTTGCAGTATTCGGAGTCGAACAGTATGCTATTGTCCTTAAACCGTAATGTTGCGTCGTGCAATTGAAGCCAGGGGATTCCGAGGACGAGTGGGTACGAGCCGAGTTTGGTGACGAAGAAAGGGGTAGTTTCATGGTGGGAGTCAATGGATAGCGGCAGATAGCAGAGGTGGGTAATTTGTCCGGAAGATATTGGCCGTCCGTCGATGACTTCAAGAGTGCGGGGCGATTTAAGGGGAAGAAATGGGAAGATGTTATGGCGCGCGAATGTTTCATCAATGAATGTGAATCCGGAGCAACCGGTATCAATAAATGCGTGAGTTTGAATGGATATTTTATTATTTATAATTTTACAAGAAGCAACAAAATGATCCCCATCCAATTTATCCTCCACAAACAATACCGAGAAGCCAGAGATAGAAAACACAGACAAAGGAGAAACATTGGAATGTCCCAGGCAGGGGCCATTAATCAAGGCTGGGACTACTGAAAACCCGACTCGCAGGAGGCAGGACTAGCGGACGGTGGAACAGCGGGGTCGACGGCCGTATGACCGGGTGCGAGGAGGACACCTCTCATAACCGGTTGGTCACCGCGCGGGCGATTGGTAGAGGGGCGGTTAGCAAAGACATCCCCAGTGTTAGTTAGGGTTAAGGTTAGGGCTGGTTATCTAGTAGTGGAATGTCGGACAGGATTTTGAGGTTGCCCGGGAACCGTCGCCCCACAATTCCGGGCTCCATTACTATGGGTCGAACAGGACGACCCGAGTCCATTCCCATCATCAGGTATGCGCGTACAGGGGGTCGTGGTCGTGATTGCGGGGGCGGAGGTTGTGGTTGGGGGCCGTTGAGTAGGGTAACTCACTGTGAGTCTTGGCAACCCGTCCTGGTACACTCCATCACCGACACTCACAACAATCGAAAACTGAACCGTACAGAGCGTGCCTTCTCTATCCTACAATCATGACGGCGTCCAAAACTGAATCATGCCGTGTTTCTCCATCTTGTGGTTCGATGAAATACACGAATTTCCGATTGTGAACCCCGGGTTACCACATTGGGCGAATCCCACTTCGACGCTCGTAACCCTAACCGCCAACAGCCAGGTACAAACCACCACCAAATACAGATTTATGTATTTCATTTCTGCCGAAAATTCTATTTTGCACACCTAACCGAACCAGATGGCAACGCTCGTAACCCTAACCACCAACAGCCAGGTTTAAACCACCTCGTAATACAGATTCATGCATTTCATTTTGACCGAAATCCGTATTCTCTAACCCTAACCAAAATCCCACTTCGACGCTCGTAACTCTAACCACCCGCATCCAGGTTTAAACCACCACCAAATACAGATTTATGTATTTTGTTTTGACCGAAGATTGTATTTTGTACACGTAACCAAACCAACTTTCAACGCTCGTAACCCTAACTACCCACATCCAGGTTTCAACCACCTCGTAATACACATTGATGTATTTCATTTTGACCGAACATTGTATTTTGTACATGTAACCAATTCAGATTTGAACGCTCATAACCCTAACTACCCACATCCAGGTTCCAACCACCACCAAATACACATTCAAGTATTTCATTTTGACCGAACATTGTATAATGTACACGTAACCAAACCAACTTTCAACGCTCGTAACCCTAACTACCCACATCTAGGTTCCAACCACCACCAAATACACATTGATGTATTTCATTTTGACCGAAAATTGTATAATGTACACCTAACCAAATCAGATTTGAACGCTCATAACCCTAACTACCCACATCCAGGTTCCAACCACCACCAAATACACATTGATCTATTACATTTTGACCAAAAATTGAATTTTGTACCAATAGAATAACAACGACCTGAAGAAAAATAGATAGAAAAGTGTCACTTCAGTATTCTGTCCTACATTCTAATTCCGATACGTAACCAGAAGGTTGCAATTACCAGTCTTTGGGTTATATAGTATTATTGTTCGAGACACTACTGAGCAATATTGAATCGCTGGATAGATATGCATGTCTACTAGGACAACATGTAAAGCAAACACTAATGGTGAAATTGGTTACTACTGTTTGTGATAGCTTGAGAGGTATAAATATCAATCGAAACAGAAACTGCATCAGAGTTTGCAATTGAGATTTGTTGGTGTGGTTTGCTATGATTCGATTTGTATGCACACTTGTTGTGACAGAATGTAAATCAGGAATAGGAGATAAGATTTGTGAGAATTTTTGGCAATCGCTTGATACGTATGCATACAAATCGGACTGGCAAGTAAAGTGTATATCGATAAGAAAAGCTTTCTGTATGATGGTTGAATACTAAATAGGAGTCGATACCTGTCAGGAAAATATTCAAATCAGTAATTAGCAGTGAACTTGGTTGATATCATTAATAATTGGTTCATACTTACTAGAGGTGCACCAACTCGCGACCGCGATGTCCCCTTCTCTCCCACCTATGTGTAGTATCTAGGCACCTCCAGTAATTAGTTAATTTTGTCTTTGCCGTCTCATGTTCTGTTTCCCGGCCATGTCACATAAATGCCTAAATCTTGCTCTGGAGATCTATTTCCGATTTTCAATGCCAGCTCCAGTGCGAGTTAAAATCAAGGTCAGCCCCACTGTCAGCTTCGGTGTCGGCTCAAATATATGCCAGCTCTAGCCGGAGCTGCCCGAATGCCATCTCTAATGCCCACTCCAGTACCAGCTCCATTAGATGCCGGCTCCAGTGCCAGCTCAGATACATGCCAGCTCCAGTGTCCGCTTCTCTGCAAGCTCCAGTGCCCGCTTCTCTGCAAGCTCCAGTGCCCTCTTCACTTCCAGCTTCAGTACCAGCTCTGATGCCCGCTCCGGTGGCAGCTCCGGTACCCGCTCCAGTACCCGCTCCGGTGCCAGCTCCGGTGCCAGCTCTAACACCCACTCCTGTGCCTGCTCTTGTGCCCACCTCTGTTCCCACTCGTATTCCTGCTCGTGTTCCCGCTCTTGTGTCCGCTCCGGTGACCGCTCGAGTGACTACTCCGGCGTTCGCCTCGATGCCAGCTCCTGTGACAGCTCCAATGCCGGCTCCAGTGCCAGCTCTGATATATTCCAGCTCCCTTCACCGTTTCTCCACCACACTGGCACCTCCTCTCCCCCTCTTACTGGTCTTCCCTCCCACTCTTCACACTCCCCGCCAACTACTGTTCGTCTCTCTCGCCTATTCTGCTCATATTTGACTACTAAATACCTATATTTATTATTTAATCATAAAGGGTTCCGTTGGTTGGGCTGGTCTCATGGGTAAGGTCAGGGTTAGGGTTTGGGCTTGGCAGGAAAATAGGCATGGTAACGGCCCTGAGCAGGCAGGGTAACGCTCAAAAAAGGTAGGGTAACTCACAAAAAAGGTAGGGTAACGGCTCAGAGCAGGCAGGGCAACCGCACTAATCGGGTAGGGTAACCTCTCAAAATAGGCAGGGTAACAGAACAAAATCGGGCAGGGTAACTGCAACAAACACACGAATTTGATGTGTCGTGCTTACAAAATACCCCTGTCGCTGTCAACCAATCAGATTGCAGCAATCTCAGAAGAATTATATTCCAGTACATATTAGAAGATACATTCTTATCAGAACAGCAAATTTAACAGTGATTGACAAACAAAACCTTTTGTATTATTTACAATCCTTTGATGGGTATGTATCAGGACAGCGAGTGTATCAGAAATTCAAATTGTCATTTGTTACAATCGTTCATGAAGGTTTGAAAGCTATGAATATTTATTGGCACAGTAAAATACTGAAATTGATACTCAATGTATTTGATGGCTTGATTGGTATACCATGTTCTGGATCAATATTGAATAGATTGAATACTGCACTACGGTTTGCAAAATATCTTCTCCCAAAACACGAGGTTGCGGCTTTCCAATCCATTCGGAAATATATACAATCTATGCTCATATTCTGAACTTGAGAGTGAACAATATTCAGCACTTATCTCTAAAACTCATTGTTTTAATTGATAACAGTCTTTATAACATGTATCCTGATATTTTGTATTTTGTAAAAGGGTAGGAATTTGACGATGTCCGCAAGATAACATCTGTTCCACCTCAACTACCTATTAACAGTATGCGCCCAAATTCCCCCAAGCCTTTAGAATTAGGATTATGAATGCTTTTGATTGAGAATGTCATATTTGAGCTGACTGGCGATCAGTATAGCACTCAATTGCTTGAACGTTCTCAGTGTAACCCAATTCAGATCCTAAAACCTTGTCCGATTTCATGGATCGATTGAATAATATAGTAGGTTACAAAGGGTCGAATTGGTCAGAAAAATTCTATGGATTTCTAGAAGATTCCGTCGATTTTAAGGGTATGAGTCACGATGGATTTGTGATTGCTAGGCTTTCTTTATGTATATTAAGGAGCTTTGTCCTCGATTCTTCTCTCTTTCCCTCTTTTTTCTTCTCTTTCTTTTGGTATGCAAAGGCTTAGGTAATCTACGCTGCCTATTGCTATTCAAGTACTATTTTCTCTTCCTTGATAAGGAGGCCATCTCACTTCTCCGACCTTAACACCGCTAGTCCTAAACTACTGTAAGTTTCTCCATCCCCTCTCACTGATTAACCTACCAGCCCCTATGACCATCTCCCGTAACCTGTGGAATACTCGCTACCCAACTCCCTAGGATTACGTCGCATCGTAATCCGCACCATACGCCATATCCACCCCCAAATGACCTATATGGATCTCATTTAACAAAATCGAGCAGTTTAACCATCAGTACGAATAGAATACTGCTGCCCTGTTTGACCACCTCCCTACTATATTTTAAAGCATCCGACACGAGAGGGATAGTGCTCGTACACTGCTCTCCGCCGTCCACAAAACCATTGGCTACCTGGAAGAGCAAGTAATACAGGTCAACCTTGACCTCAATGTTGACCACACCACCTCTGCCCCCAATGTTCCTACCCCCATTTTCGCTGCTACTGCACCAACCACTGTCTCCACCTTTGGGTCTGAAACTTTCCCCGAAAATTTTGATGGCATCCGGACCAAAATCTCCGGATTCGTTACCCAACTCCGAATGAAGCACGAAGTCAACCATAATCGGTTCCGCAATAGGACAGCAAAGGTTATTCATGCGGTCAGCTGTTTGGAGGTAAGAGCCCTTGATCAGGTAATACAACTTGTTAACGCCAATTCTGCTGACTTCTTTTCCTCCGTCACCTTCTTTGTCGCCCACATGAAAGGCTCATTTAGAGACCTAAACACCCAAAGTACCATCCACCGCCAACTCGTCCCCCTGAGGCAAGGCAAAGGAGACTTTGCCACCTACTACTCACAGTTCATCAGAAACGTGTCCCACTTGCATTAAAATAAAGGGGTCAAGATTGAGGAATTGGCGGAAAGATTGTCTGACAACTTTACAGACGTCATGACCTATCGAACGGACAGACCCAATATGGTGGAAGCATATGTGACCATGTCAGTGACGATCGATAAAAACATGTGACTGACGTGCTATGATGAGGCACAACCGTGATTTGCCTTCGAATAGTGTAAATAAAGAGAGCGAG